GCCCCTTTGAAGTCTCTAAGCATGTAGCCGACTTGTCCCTTTTTTGTTCGCTTTTTGTTTGAAGAAAAATATGCATCAATCCTTACCTCCATTTGACAGATTAGCCATTCACATTATGCAATAAGCGGAACCAAAACCCCATACCATGCAAGATTGCAACTTTGCAATAGCATCAGATATTAGGGGAAAAAAACTCAGGACTCAAAATAGAGCTGGTTTGATCTTGTTTCATACTACAAAAACTTGTCTCATTTACAGTCTTGATTCTGCTGCAGGTGGAAACCATCTCAAGGGCTACCAACTTTGGTCCCCAAACTCCTCTTCCTTGGTCAAGACACCAACTCTGACAGTCCAAAAGAACTTAAGCCGTCGGAGACTTCCTCGCAATTGGACTGTTCATGCAACCTACAAGTATGCTCATTCTTGTCTCCACAACTAAATATGGTTCCATTATCTACTACCGCATCTTTTACTGGCTACCAGGACAACTCTCCCTCTCTCTCTCTCTCTCTCTCTCTCTGATATTTTGCTTTTTAGTTGATGCACCAAAATGTCCTTTGGAACTAGATAAATACTATAAAATCCAAAACTTGTTCTTGTATTATTTGGTAAACATAACACTGAATTTGGCAGTCTTTCAGTGTGAGACCGGTAGGACAGTCTTCAATTCTCCACCCAATGTTTGAAAGTTAAGTTTGTCATTGTTTTGTATATGTAAGGATGGTTTGGGCTTCTCTTATTTGCGTTACCAGAAGTTTGTCTTGACAATGCTTTTGAATTCACCATGCTAGTTCGACAGCCTTAGCAAACAAGTGCATGAATGAGTGACCTTCTCATTACATGTGTGCTGAGTCATAAATGCATACCACCTGTATTCTTGTATTGTCTAGGTATGAATATTGGCATTAGTCTAGCACAGTGGTCTTTAAGCTCTTGTATGAATAATCTGGTGCAACTTTAAGCATGTTCTGCTACAGCTCAGAGACTTTGTTATATCTGTCATTCAGTGGTTCTATAACAGATTTTTCAGATGAGAAGCTCTTCAATTTCTTTGCTGTTGAGCTTAACATTGTGTATTCTACCAGATACAAGCTCTCTAATTTTTTCTTAGAGGCTTTTAAGCACTTTTGCAATGTTCTCCGGTTTGTCTTACTTTTATATGTGTCCTGTGAACGGAAATGTTGTTATGCACCAGCTGTGTGTGCATTTCCACTTTCGATGCATTCTCATTTATCATTTTCCAAAATTTTATAGCTCTTCCTCTTGGCCTCGTAATATTAGTTCTACACATTCTCACATGTCAAACATTCAGCTCAGCACAACTTTAAGTTTAAAATGGGATTCTGTCTCTAGTACAGATAGTGGGATAATGTGGAAAACTGAGAAGCTATGAAACATCTATCTTTGTCTCTTGCCAAGATGCATTTAGTTAATTAGTCCTTGGATGACTAAATTCTTCCAAACAGAGCTTTATTTTAACTACTGTCTTTATATCCACATTGCATTTCCTGTAGTTGTCTGCTGGGTTTTGCTTTTCCCAACATCACTCTTTACCCGTGGCCATAATCTCCTTTTGATTGCAAAGTGCAGTGATCATAGGGGTGGAGGTGGTGGTGATTTTGTGGCTGGTTTCCTTTTAGGAGGTGCAATTTTTGGGACACTTGCATATGTTTTTGCTCCCCAGGTGAGATAAATTTTCTTTTTCCTTTAAGACAACTCATTTCTGTATCGTCCACAAAAGTTATTGAGGTCTTATACTTTTGATAATTAAGTTTGCTTGGTAACTCTTTGGTCAACAATTGGAAGATTGTATTGTCCTTGAATTAAATACTCTGCTACATATTACAATTCTGATACTAGTTGGGACAATTTTTATTAATTGAGATTATCTGCCCGTCCTTGCCTTGCCTATTGGTAAGAGGTTGGTGGTTTGTGGATAGGAGGACAATCCTTGGTAGATATAGAACTGAAATAGTATGTAGCCGGTAACTTTCTAGCTTCAGAGTTGATAGGAGATGCTAGTAATCATTCATTTGCTTTTCCAAATCTATAAACTGTGTGGAATTTTGGCTGCAAGATTGAAGAAGCTGCTTGATCAGATTAAAGATAAGAGAAGAACAATCCATGGAAGGGAAAAACGAAAAGCTGATGAGAAAATTGACATGAGCATATTTAGTGATACAGGAATGGTTATGCTTTGGCTTGTTGATTTACCATTAATATACCCAAATCTCTTGATTCATTGCAAAAGAATTTTACAACTACTAATAGTGATTATATTCCTTAGGTCGCATTTTGCATCTTCAACTGTTAGCTTTTCATGATCAAATGGAACTTGATAAGGAGGGAAAAAATGTATTTTTTTAAGTAATGTTTCACAAATTTCTAGATACAAAGCAGGTCTAAAGCATCCTAGGGATTAACTTGGGATTATAAGTGATGTCTGGCATTGTTTTTCAAACCTCTTCATGCTAAGACATACATGTCAAGGTAAAGCAGGAAAAGGAAATGCTAGAGAAGTTCAAAATATCCAATGAATGCTTTGTTAGTGATTGAAATTTTAGTACTTTTCTACTTGGTATTAATGGTCATTGCAACTTCAAAATTTCTTTTGTGTTGGTATAATATCCAAAAAACAAAACAATCCTCCATTTCCTATTTGTTTAGTTTCTCTACTGTCTTTGCCTATCATGTAGATGCATTTAACTATCTTGCATTGAGATGTTATTAATGGTAGGCAGGTTACGATTTCTCCTAGCTTCATCATTACCAGCTCTTGGAGCTCATGCTTGAACATCTAGAACAAAGAACTTTGCTGCTTAGCTAGCTCTGTCTATTTGAAAGTTAGAAGGTGCTTGAACCTTGTATGTAACCTTGTTCAAAGTTCTAGCGGCATTTCTATGGAGTGGTCAACCAATCACCTTGTGGGGTGGTTCTCCTTCTATCTGTTTGTGTCTGCGAGTTTGGCCGTGCCACACTGCTTTTCGCTTCTGCTTTTAGTCATTTTGTCCCCCTTTATCCATATGATCAGATAAGAAGATCGCTTTTGAATGAAGACGAGTACGGTTTCCGTAGGGCAAAGCGACCAATTTACTATGACGAAGGTTTAGAGGTACTTACTAGTAGCACCCTCCTGCTTATTGCCTTGCAATAGATTGAGGATTGAATTCTCACTATGCAACCCTAATTCTATCCTCTGATCCTCCCCTTCCATCGGTGTATTCTTTTTCTTGAGATGCAGAAAACGAGGCAGACATTAAATGAAAAGATAAGTCAACTTAATTCTGCTATTGACAATGTCTCTTCTCGGCTGAGAGGTGGCAATAGCATGCCTCCGGTGCCAATTGAGGCTGATCCTGAAGAAGCGACAATGTAAGGGCTGCCTTTGTTGTGTGATGAAGTGGTTTCCGTATCCAGTTCAACTTGTTTCTGAAACTATTGGACTCTTCCTATTTACTGATTTCTAGAAGTATTACTCTGTGCGCTTGAGGAGCCTATTTTCATTGCTCACTTTGTTTTTCACCCAAGATCCTTTCTCTGTTTGAGATTTCTTTCATCCGTTCCATAACAAGGAAATGGCTGGTACGCAGTAGAGTTATTAGTTGGTATTGGCTGCTGGTAACTTCTTAATTGCTCAAACGTCTCTCAAACTTTGGGGACCCGTACATTGTGTTTCAGTATGAATATCATCATGGAAAATAATTTCAGACCGCTAGCTTATGCCTGGAAGTCTTAATTGTTTGAACAATCTTCCTAACTGACGTTCAAGACTGGATTAACAGTCACACGGATGCCCAGATGCTAGAATCACCTTGAGTACCCGTTGTAACCCTTCTTCCCGTTATGATTTTTTATAGTATGAACGATGCGATTTAGTGCTTTCCCCGTTGACAACCCAAAACCCTCCTTTAAGTTCCCCCTCTATCTTCGTCACTTCGAACTGAAAGAAGGGAAACAACAGTGAGAGCTAGAGTGTTTTGTACTATTGGTTTCTTTGTTATTTTCTAATTAGGGCATTTAGGCGCTGACTCCCCTTGGAAATCTTAAATTAGATTTTTTTTTAATAAGAAAAATATCTGGATGAAATCAACTCCAATCACTGTTATAAATCACACCATATGCTTCTCGAAACCATAATTGCATATAAGATTGTTACAAATCGTCCAACAACGCAAATGTGTTGGAAATCTAGAATTAGATATCATGAACAAAAAAAAGGAAAACAATAAATACTTGTTTGGATTGCTTGTTTCCGTCGAAAAATATTGTCGTTTTCCGTGATCACATTTCCCTATCACCTTTTTTCCTCAAATATATCAAATCGCTACAGTAATTTTTCCATGAAAAATGACGAAAAATGCAATCCAAACACAACCTAAACTTTTAACCTGCAAGCCATTATTGTCTTGATGGACCCAATGCTTTAAAATTCTACGATTCTTAAAATTCACTTAATAGCTAGTTTGGACGTTTAAGTTAGAAAAGAAAAGATGAAAAATGTTAAGTTATGAAAAAAAAGAAGAGATTTTAATATTGTTTAGAAGTTTTAGAAGAAAATAGAATGATTTTGAACATATATGTCAATAAAAATTCATTCAATAGTTTTGTTAGGATAAAATGGACAATTTTAAAAAGTTTTGTAAGCTTCCATCAGCGTTTTTGGTCGAAAAAAATTTGCACTGTAGCAACGCCAGGCATCCTCAAAATCCATTTGTTTCTTTTCTTTTCCGTTTCACTTGAAAGTCCAAAAGTAAGAAAATGTACCTTTCATTTCGATTCCATTGGAATCTCAATTCCCAAACTAGCTATAAAGAGGAGTCTCTACTTCCATCGAATCTCCATTTCCCTTTCCTCTCCTTAAATTAGATTAAGTTATAGAAATTCTATCGGTCCGACCGAAAAAAAAAAAAAAAAAAAACTAGCTATAAAGAGGAAAAGCGAAAAAAAAAAAAAAAAAAAAAAAAGCGCAGCCCCAGAACGGGCGACAAACAAAACAGAGCTGCACGCACGCAAAAGGTTGGTGGAATTACAAATCCGGATGAAGAAACATCATCCCCTCTATACCATACCCCGTCCCTCACCGTCCATAAGATAAGCCTACCTGGTGGTGGGGACGGAGACTCTACTAGAGTTATTTGGAGGCAGTAGTAGCAACATCAGCAGCAGCAATTGGATGTAAATCAGGAGGAGGAGGGGAAGGAGAAGACAGAAAAAGTTGAATTTGGTCCAAGAAAGAGAGATGCTGGGCCCTGTCTTTGCGCTTGACGTATCCTTTGGCCTCTTTCTCGGAGTAGCAGTGGTATCCCTTCTCCCCGTTCCTCTTCCAGAGCGCCTCCGCATAGGTTGAGTGTGCGTAGTAGGCCTCGGCCTCTATGGGAAGGGGGTCATGATCCTCCTCCTCCTCCTCCTGGATGAGGACGACCCTGACGGGCAGCCTCTCGTAGTGACCGCGAGTGACGCCCTCCAAGTCGTCCATGCGGGCCAATGCCCTTGGGGAGACGGAGTAGAGCTCGCCGGAGACAGGGTGGCCGCGGCCGTGAAAATTGAGCAGGAAGGGAACTCTGTAGGGCCCGCAGACGAGAGGGAGTTGGTTGGCGGTCCGGCAGAGGCCCAGGAAGGCGGCATCTCCGGAGGCCATCATGTCTTGTAAGAGGGTGTGATTGGAGAAACCGTGCTTGAGAGTTCCGTAGGTGAAAATTAGGGTGCTGCTGCCGCCGCCGCTGCAAGTAGAAGTATTATCATTATGGAGGGAGTAATGGTTGCCCATGCCCATTTCTCCCAGCCTGTCTGCTGCTCCCATTCCGACCCTCCAAATAAAATCCCTAATTCCCCTTTGGTTGGATCTGGGAAGTCGGTCGGGAGAATTGAGAGAAATATTTTTGGTTTATATTCAGCGATGATGATAGACAGACTGCCCCCCTCCTCCCTTCCACTGCTCTCTGATTTTTCCCAGGAGGACGGATGATGAAGGATGGGTGTTTTTTTTTTTTTTACTACTATATATATAGTGATTACCGTTGAAAAAAAAAAAAAAAAGAGTCTATTTTTTTGTCAGCGCCTGCTCTCTGACGTCGAGCGTGGATTGGGTTCTTCTTCTTCTTCTTCTTTACGCAATTGCAACTTTTAAGACGGACGGCTTCTTGAAAATCAAGCTTCATTTTCTCTCACGCAAGTATTCGGCATCAACTTCAGCTAATAAACTAGTGATTCTGATTACAAGTTACAGCAACGAATTTGAATGGATCTACTACAATAGGCAGCTAGAAGCTGAGAAAACCACATGGTGGTGGTGCTGCTGTTCCCCCATTTTGTCTAATCATCAAATCTATTCTTACAATGAATATGTGCCCGCCCTACTAATTAATAATATCACAAACTTGAGATCATCAGACGACCGACCTAAATCAAATGGCGGAGGAGCTCTCCCGACACAATGCAAAAGACCTGGCCAGTTTCACAGCATCTTGCACCCTAAGCCGAGTTCCTTGTTGCCCAACAACCACAGATGCCACCTTAGCGGCAAAGCCACCCATACCTTTCAAATCCGAAACTCCCCGCAGTATACCATACAATATACCTGAAGCATAAGCATCCCCCGCACCACAAGTATCCACCGGCGGCGTGCAAGGAGGAGCAGGAATATACACTGCTTCCCCTTTCACCCCGATATAAGATCCTCTTGGTCCATCCGTCACCGATACTAGAGGCACAAAGTGGCTTAGGTACCTTGTAGCCGAAACGGGGCTTTCCTTCGACGAAAAGTGACAGAAAGCTCTGGCTTCATCGCTATTCGCGAAAACGATGTCAGCATAGTTAGCCATGATGTCCCTGGGCCGCCCCCAAAAAAAAAAAAAGAAACAGCACCTCATTAGCAAACCACAAATTACTCGTTAGGAATTGGGTTTGAAAGATCAGAATATGCTGCATAGCATCGCCTAAATGCACCAGGTTCCAAGCTCTAATAGTTTAAGAACAACAAGCTGACAAAGTAGCAGATACTTGAGGAGGCCTATGTAAATTAGTACTGCTCAATGCTTCTCTACAGTTAATTAAATAGATCTTCGAGTATGAAGGGGAAGCCGTACAAAAATCTAAAGCAAATCTTCTGAAAGAGTTGTTATACGCTAAACTCCAGTGCTAAGACATATAAGAAACGAGGCGGAGGCTGGGAAGAACATATGCCATATTTACCAAAAATCATCATAGTGTCTCTCAATGCAAGAAATATCTGATGCTGTGACAGCGACTAAAGCACCAAAGCTGCGGGCAACCTCACATGCTTTTGATATGGTTTTGATTGTATCAGGAAATTCAAATAGATATCCTTCAACAATGAGCACATCTGTTTTGCAAATTGAGCTAGCCAAGGAGGAATCGTAACTAATGGTGGAAGATGTACCCTGTCACCACAAACAAAGAGAGTCTAAGTAAAAGAACATGTGCAAAATAAAAAGGGGCAGTACCCTGACAACGTGCGTAACACGAAATACAATATACATTCATTGAAAACTGCAGAATGGTTTTTGAGAGAATAAAGGCAGTGCAAATATCATTCCACCCAAAACAATAGGGTCACTCCATTTAATCAAAAGATGCATGCTGCTTTATACTCACAGCCAGAAAACAAAAATTTGCTGCAGAACCTATCTGCAAATGAATAGGGCCTAAGTTGTGGTTGACAGAGAGATAATGCCTCCAGTCATCATGTAGACAGTGAGATTATGCACAACAACATCACAGTGGAAATTAGTTATTCAAAATGTCAAACTATATTTTTTTTTAAAAAAAAAAGGGAAAGAATGCTGTTTTTACTATATATATCCATAAAACCATTTCAGCGCCGCCAACTCCAGCTGATATCGATAAGCTACATCCTTTCGTCATTATCATCATAACTACATAAAGCTAATCATCAAGTTTATCAAGTGCTTTTCCTTAAAGCAAATCCGTCACCTCATTATCTACTCTCAAGTAGGGACTACAATAGCATCTAAAACAATTTAATGTAATTTGAAATTGGTTAAACCTAAAATACAAACGTCAAAGAGTACGTAAATGAAGTTTCTAAGCATTAAACTTTCTTTGATCAGTCATAGCTGCCATGACCGTAGCACTGTTAGGATCGCAGGAAGCTGCCACCACAATTCCTCAAATACAACCATGCTAACTTTAATCGAGCACCAAAGCCTACATTCTATCTTATAACAAGGCCACCAACACAACCAAAACTTCAGTATCACCAGATATGCGAGTACCCAACACTAGAATACTGGCCTTGTTATCAATTGATTATTTTAGCTAATTATAGATTCAGATTTTCAATAATCAGTTTTTTGACGTTTTGGTTTGGTTTTGCACTTAGATTATAGATTTTTTAATAGCCAAATAAGCTAAAATCCATAATCTACCAAAGATTTTTGCTGATTCTGATTATTTTCTATAATCAGCTTATGCAAAATCTTAAGCAAAAGAACTAGGCCACTCCAAAAAGCATCAATTTTTGTGAAACACGAACTCATGGTGAGCAAAACAAAAGGAGCTCCACCACTGGTTGAACTTGATGCAAAAAACTTCTTCCCTGAAAAGGTTAAGCACCCATTAAGTACCTGATAAGCAAGCATTGTACGCTGGGCATCTGGTGTTGTGAGAACAACAACTGTTCCAGTAGTTCCCTCATTAACAGGTGCCGACAGGAAACTCACATTTGCTCGTTTCAATTTTGACCTATCCAACACAACCAGATTAGAAACAATAAGCAGTACAAAAATGTTGGTGTTGCAGAAATACATACACCACAAAGGCACCTTTTTAAGTGAAAAAATGAGAGAGAGAGAGAGAGAGAGAGAGAGAGCCCAGGGATTTCCAATGTTCTTGGAAAGATTGGTAGAAATTTTCATTTGACAGAGTTCAGCAATAATTAAAACCTGTGGATATTTAAGTATGGTGAAAACTCAACAGAAAAGGGTGAGGACAATAAAGGATGACATACCTGTAAAACCCACCAAGCGGATCACTTCCAACACTGCCTGCCATAGCTACATTTAGGGAAGGACCTCCCACAGGTAGACCACCAAGCCTGGCCAAGGCGACCAGAGTGTTGGAAAGAGAGCCACCAGCTGCAGCCTTGTAGCTGCATCCATCCATAGCCTGTAAAACTCTACCCCTTTCCTCATGATTTACAACTTTCCTTGTACCCTTTTCCAGTCCAAGTCTCTCGAGGAATTCATCATCAACCATGCCAGAAAAATCAACCTAAGAAGAAAAAGGATCACGCCACGAATTTCTCCTTTTGCGAACAAAACAAGAAAAGAAAAGGAAAGGAAAAGAGAAGGTGACGAAATTGTTTTGCTCCAGTGAAAGTGGCAAATAGTGGACGGAGGGTGCACGAAGTAGGAGAATTGGAAAAGGGTGTCATCAACTGACAACTAATCAACGAAGAAAGACATAGGGGAAGGGAATGTGTGATAATCAGAGCAACAAGTGCTGTTGGAGATGGCAGAAGATAAATAGAGCAGTAGTTCAGTAATTGAAAGCGAATTGGGGTAGTAGTACGAGTTGAAAAGTTACCATGGCCTGGCCGAGACCCAAGACGTCCCATCTGTCGGGCAAAGAAGAAGGAGAAGGAGGAGAGAGGTCATGAAGATTGTGGCGGCAGCTGCGGCGGCGGTGGCATTGAGGAATTGGAACGTGGGAGTCGTCGTCATCGTCATCATCATCATCATCTTCAGAGTCGGAATCAGTTTGGGAATGGGTGGTTGTATGACTAAAATCATCGGAACTTCCATCGTCGGAGGAGGAGGAGGAGGAGGAGAGCCTGGTGGTGGTGGGGGTAGGGTGGTGGTAGGCAAAGCCATTATTGTCAGAGTAATAAGAAGTTGAAGAGGAGGTAGACATAGAAGAAGAAGGAAGAGGAGTAATAATAGGAGGAGAGGTAGGGGTGCCGGGGAAAGGGAAAAATAGAGAAGAGGCGGAGGAAGAGCTGGGAAAGGGAAAAGAATAAGTAGGAGTAGGAGTGAGTGGAGAGCTGGAGATGGTAGAATGAAGAGGGTGAGGAAAGAGAGGGGGATTGGTGGAGGATTTGATCCTGAACAAGTGGGGAATTGGTGGAGGAGGAGACCCAGCCATGAAATTCATGATAGATAAGGGGTGTTGGCGTTGGACGATACAAACCGACGACATATCTTTTTCCACTAGAAAAAATGTTAGTTATTCACTACCACTATTTAGTTGCCAGTACATAGATTGCTTTGCTTCTGGCTAGTGGTGGAGGTTTCGAGAAGGATTGATCCTGAGATTCCGATATTTGACTGCTATACTATAGAAAGACAGACAGAGAGAGGATGGAGTGAGGGAGGGAGAACGACCACCACGTCGGAGCCAAGCCAAGGAGCTCCTCCTCCCCCCAACACTCCAAAATTACCTAGCTTCCCCTTCTCTCTCTCTCTCTCGAAGTATACAACAACGACGGAGGAGGATGGTGGTGGCCAATTATGTGTATCCTCTCTCTCTCTCTAGAGACTATAGATAGGATGATATTGGTGTATCTAACTCTAATCTTCAAAAGCAATATACACGACACGAGCTGGGTCCTTACCCTTCTTCCTCCTCCTAAGCCGTCCGCCCGCCGCCCCCTCCTCCTCCTTTCCTTCGCTTATAACCTCCTAAATTTTACTATTTGTTTTATGGGATAATTTCAGAAACCTCCCTGATGTTTTTGGACTATTTCATTGGCCTCCCTCCAGGTTTTAAACATTATTCTAACTTCCCCTGAGGTAATTATCTTGTAATGTTTAAATCCAATGGATAATTAAAAAATAATATTAGGAGAGAGAAGATTTTATGATTCCATCATTGCCCCTCATCTACTTCACTATTTAATTAATTTAATACCAAATCACACCTTAAAAAAACACTAAAATTTGCTTTTTATCATTAAAGATCTAATCACATGTAATATCAAAAAATAGTATATCACATTATATTTTCACTTAATACAAGATTCAAATTACTCTTTTCAATTACCGATTGTCAGACGTGATCAACAACAAATAATCAAAAATTTTGCAACCAAAATATTACAGAGAACAAACTTTAACATCATAAATATTTCTGTCAACATATCGAGTTTTGAAACCCAGACTGTTCATTGGTCCGAAAAAATGATTGGGTTAAGTGTCATTGATCAAACCACTGGGCGAACCGTTATTAACTTGTAATGTCATAAATATATCATAAATATTAGAAACTTCAACAATAATGTTAAAAACAATCACTTCGATCCTTATTGTAATCTTTTATGTATTACTTGTTTGAAATTCAATAATAACTTTTATAAGTAAAAGGTAAAAGAAATATAGAATAGCATTATTATCAACATCTTTAATTTTTTACATTTTTTATTTTCCTAAATTATATGATACGTAGTTTATAAGATATGAATAAAAATAAATATAAGGCAATGACAAACAATTGAAACGCACTGAAGAATTAACATAATTAATATACTATATGCAATAAAATGTTAAACACAAGTTAAATGAGAGAAATAGAATGAGGAGTAGAAATAAGGTAACAATTGTTAATACCTTACTAATTGGAGACAATTATGCATGGGTAATTGGTAAAGGTTGTTGCTGGAATGTCATCAAATGTGATTAGTTGAGCAAATTTAAAATTTTTTAGGGCAAAGAACTAGCCGGAGCGGTTGAACCATTGGGGGCTAACTAGTTTGCATAAAGGAGGGTGATTTTTTAATCCCTTTGGATTTAAGGCATAACCTGACCCGCTTAGCAGCCCGATCGACAGCTCAATCGGTCTGATCAAACGGTCCGAGATAGGTTTCAAAACATTGAAACGTATTAAGGTTAGTTGCTGAGATTTTTATGATATTAAAATTCACTATTTGTAGTATTTTGATTATAGAATTTTTTGAGTATTTGTTGTTAATCATATTTGACAATGAATTTGTAATTGAGAAGAACAATTTAGATCTACATTAAATAAAATATATAGAATGATATACAATTTTTGATGTCATATGTGATTTAATCCCTAATGATAAATAACAAATTCTAGTGTTTTCTTTAATGTTTGGACATGTATTAGATTAATTAAACAATTTAGTAGATGATGGGGCAATGGTGAAATCATATTATTTTTCTCTCTTAACATTACTTTTGAATTATTAATTTGATCTAAATGTTACAAGATAATAAATCTCAAGAGAAGTTAGTATAATTTTTAAAACTTAAAAGGAGACCAATGAAATAGTCAGAAATCTCAAGCGGGGTTTTTGAAATTATCCGATCACAAGTAAATCAAGTAAACAAACCATCATTTGTTTCTTTTCTACTTTTTTTTTTTGTGTGTCTTATTTATTAAGTGAAACATTAGGATGATTGGATCATGGACTTCTACTTTTATGGCCCAACCAACGGTAAAGAACAACAACAGACCCACGCCTCGGAGATTGATAGGCCGTAGAGTTTTAATTAATCGATCAACGAAAGGCAGGACTCAGATCGATCGACTGGGAAATGGATAAGAAAGCAATGGAAGGCGAAGAAGAAAAGCAAACCAAGGAGGAGGAGGAGGTAGTGGTGGATTGCAAGACTTGCAAGCGGTGCAGACACAGCTACTCTCCAAAATCCAATAACCCTAATTCATGTCGATATCATCCTTCTTTCTTCGTGTGTCGTCGTCACGACGATCAGAAAAGGTACGTCCTGTTTCTATCTTCTCTCTCATTCCTCCCTCCATTTTTTTACCGGCTTTTTTTTTTTTTTTTTTTTACTTTTACTTTCTCATTTTGCATTTCCAAAAACTACTAGTAGTAGCAAGTATGATGTATGAATTGAAATTGGGACGTCGTTTCTTATTTATGTATACTACTATCAATTCTTAGTTAGTTATTAAGTACAATGTATGGTCCAGCGGCTTAAGAATTCTGACAGGATGCACATTTATCATCAATTCTGACTTGCCGCCGGTGATTACATCAACGGTATCATTTATTTATTATGCAAAGGCTATGAGTAGCCAGTCAGGTTACTAAACTGGTTGGTGGTCATTTCACTGGCAAAGGCTGTGGGTGTCGACTCTGCATAACAAGATCTTTCCTTCCTATAGGCTATAGTGTTAAGATTGCACGACGAATGAGATTCATATATTTCCCGAGGACTGTGGTTCTCTACTGAATTTTATAGTTTTGTTTGTGGAGTTGGTTGGTCTTGAGAAAGATGCTCCCCCACCCCACTTGTGTATTTTATTGTGGGGTGCCGCACCTTGTATGTTGGTTTTCTGTGGCTTTACAAGTTTGTGTTTTGGTTGGTTGGTAACCACTGCCTTTTATCCTGTTAAGGTACTACGAGTTGGGAGCTGATGATCCTCCTTATGCTGCCAAGTTTTACGATTGCTGCGGAGCAGAAGACCCGCAAGCATCTGGATGTGTTACCAGTTTCCATATCTCGTATGATGATAACTAAAACTGGAGATGTACTAGTTAGTATGTTATTCATCATGGGTATGTACGTACATAAACAACCTTTTCATGTGAAATTGGAGACTTTTTTGCTTTCTTCCTTAAGGAACGGAACATTTGTATTGTACCTCTGCTCAACTGTGGGGAAATTGGTGTAGGATTTCTGTGAAAACCTGTCAAGCACATTAACCCCCTTGCTTTTGTATAAACTCTCTATCTATATATTGCATTTTGAAGGCCGGGGCTGCTGTCTTGTACTGCTGTATCTATGCCCTGCCCAAGAAGTACCCATTCTATGGTTGTGGCTGGTTGATTGCCATCTTTGACTAGACAGCACTAACTTTTGCATATATAATACACTACCATTCTAGCTGTAACAGGTAACAACCTTCCTCCGCTTCAAAGGAGCTTCGACTCCTTTTGGCTGTGGCTGTGTTTCTTTTTGTTGTATGAACTTAGAAAAGAAGGCTGGCTTGCTAACTTCAAATACCGACTTTATGAAAGCAAAAACAAAATTAGGATTTTTGAAGGTTAAAATTTGTAGGGGATCTTCTTGATTAAGATTTAAGAAAGGGAGCCAACGCGCGGTGGACCAAGTCAAAAGGATTTCCTTCCTGCCGTAGGGGCGAGAATCAATCAAATAAAACAGAAAAAAAAGAAGCTGCTACTGGCTGTTGTAGTAGCGGGTAATACGTAAAGACGGAATTGGTAGAACAATACACAACGGTTTAATTAGGCAAGAACTTCACATATTCCACTTATTTAAAGTAGTAAATAAAAAAAAAAAACTAGAAAGGAAATGTGGGTGGAGTTGATTTGTGGTCTGATAATCTTCCGATTGCTGAAGCGTTTCTTCTACGACGATGGCGACGCCGCCGATATTCTGGACGCCGATGCCTTCTCCTCGGACGCTACTGCCCTTTTTACTGTTGCCCATCGCCTCGAGAAGCTGTACGGAGGAAAAGCTTATGTGGGACTCCAGATCCCAGACCCCGATGCCGCCACCCGCCAGAGTATCGACATGGTTCTCGTCACCAAGAGGTGCTTTTTTTTCCCCCCCTTTGCCAAATTATTTTTAGTCATACGCAGACCCCAAACCCCAAACCCAACCAGCCGCCATGTTTTCCGCACTCAGTAATTTTGTCTGACAGCTGTTAGACCAACTGGAAAGCCAAAAGCAAAGAAATTTCTGCGTCTCTGTTTGGTTAGCACGCAGAAGGGGTGCCGATTACATTCACCAGGAACGTTTCCGTTTATAATCGCCGATTTGCTTAGTCAAGTTAATGTTAAGCCTTCCTGACAACACCGCTAGTTTCGGCCACTTCCTCCCGTATTGGAAGATTTCCCCTGTTTTCCTTTTAAAAAAAAAAAAAATTTTTAGTATTGCATCGATTTCTTCTAGGAGTATTGTTTGTACTAGTTGAATAGGAATAATCAGTTACTGGAGTGTTATTGTATGTCAAACTGGGGAATGTATTTACACGTACGCACAACTTCATTCCAAGTGAAAATATTGTGCTGATAAATAGTGAAAAGGATGCAAGAAGGTCAAATGCCTGTCTAACATTTATCCGTGGGTGGTGCAGGGAAGCAGTGATCGTTTCTGTCAAGAATGTCTCTGGAATGATCTCCATAGACAGCAAAGATGGTGCCTGGATTTGCACTGCCATACCCGGCACTGGACATAACAAGCACCACATCTCCCAGGACCAGCGTCTTCCGGATCCTGTAAACCACACTAGGATTTTACTGCTACTACTACTACTACTCCTACTGCTACTGCTACTACATTTTCTCTCACTCAAGTCTTTCCACTTTGTTTTACAAATCTTTCTTTGACATCATTCTAACCTTAAAAGCATTGATGCTTCCTGACTTCATGATGAAACCAAAGTGATTTCTTGACTTTAATTTTGGCTCTTATTCAATCTTTGCCATTCTGTATATTTTTGAAATTTAAGTTTTGTTACTTGATTACCAAATTCTGCACCACAAACCTCTAAACCTCTGAGAGTGATATGCAGTTATTTGTTTTGTTGTGCTTTATTTCAGGTTCTGCATGCTAATATAACAAAGCAAATTCTCTTGTTTACCTTCTTTCCCTTGTAGTTTTCTCTTTTACCATTCTCTACTGGCTTATACCCATTAACATTACTGTCATCGGATGGAAGAACATCGTATTTGTTTATTCTTGCTAGCTTTTATCTCTTACATTGCTCTTCTACATGTCTACTTTTAACAGGTAGCAGAAACCAAACAACTGATTTCCATTCTTGAATCATATCTTGAACAAAGGGGCCTCGCTCTTCCAGAAGGTTATCTGTCTTATAAAGTCATATGTCCTAACCCTAATTTCTGGTAAGCATTCAGCTCTTGAATTCAAGGTGACTCGCTTAGCTGTAAGCGTGTCTGTAGAACGTTGAAATCTTAAACTATTGGTTTTACCTGCTTGTAATTCTTTTCCTCCTTATAATTGAAGAATCTGTAGGCATGTTTTACGCCAAAAGTATATTGTATTGAATGTGGTTTTATTGTCCTAAAAACTTCATTGTGTACTTTGGTTTTCACTGCAAGTTCCCTTATGTAAAGTCAGAACAAGTGTTTGGAAGCTACCAGGAAATGCAGTTACTTTAGTAAATTATGAAACAAGAACCTTTTCTTCTGTAACACTCTACTGAACTACCGGTTATTATATTTTTATCTCAATTGTCTTTGAGAACAGGTGATTAGAAAGAGGAAACCTACAAACTGATTTTTATATGGAATAACAGCTTGATTTTATTTTTTTGCTCATCTTAGTTGCCATGCTGTGACTATTTATCTTGTGCTATGTTGGTTGTTCCCACTCCAAAGTACCAAATAATGTGGAGGAGCATATCATAGATGAGTTGTAAGCAGGATAGACTTAGATAAATGCTTGGATCAGAGCAATGAATATGGATGTGGACTTTGCTGTCCCACTACATGGGCATAGTTGTGGCTCATAGGTTAAATGAGTAGTAATTGCCACCATGTCTCATTCCTACTAGTATTTCTTCTCATTTTCTTTCTTGTTTTTGTTTGGCTTCTCTATTAATTTGCTTACCATTGGAAGAAGAGTGGGATAGAGGGAGTGGGGCGGGAAGGGGAGGAAGGAGAGGGGAGGGGGAAAGAGGGGAGAGGAGGAAGGAGGGGAGAGAGGAAGAGAAGGGAGGGGGAAGTGGGGAGGGAGGGAGAGAGGAGGAGAGGGTGGTGGTGACAGGTGGCGGTTGGTGGTGGTGGTGGCAGATAGAGGATAGGGAGCAAAGGAGATGGAAGATGCATGAGTTTTGAAAATTTTAAGTGTCAGGTAGAGGATGGGGAGATGTTGGCAGTTGGTGGTGGTGGCAGGTAGAGGATGGGGAGCAAAGAAGATGGAGGATGAATAAGTTTTGAAAATTTTAAAAGTGTCTTAAAAGTTTTAAAATTTATAAAAACACCCATGATAGTTAACTCAAAAGTTATAAAATTTGTAAAAATACCCATGATAGTTAAGTCAAAAGAATTTGAGCACCAAAAATAAAATTAAAAGAAAAGAAAAAATATTAAATAATAATAATAATAATACATCACTTGCAGGTTATATACAGGTTACAGGTGAAATTTCACGTCCGTTTAAAGTATAAGAGGGTTATGTGGACTTTTTGAAACCATAATGTGTCCAGTTGATTTTTGGCAAAACCGCAAGGGGATTTTATGTATTTAATCCAATATATGATGATTTTGTGGTAGTTTTGAGTGTACTGAGATCCAAAGCTTTGCTTTGCATAAATTGCTTTTATTAGCCATATCAAAACAATAATGTTTTGATTTATCTTCTTTGCAGTACTGTTCATCCAAATTTATTTCCTTCTGAGGTCATCACATATGACCAGTGGACGCAATTAAAGCCAGAGCCTAAGAACATGCTATCAGGTTGGATAAAGGGTGCATTTGGTGGCGGAAAAAAGGATATGCAGGAGTCATTACATGAGAAACTTGATTTTATCCTGGGCACAGCTCCAATGTGGGATAGGTCTGTTCTAATTTCTACCTCAATTGCTTGTTTTTATGCATTCTTAGATCTCTTTCCCGACTACATTGTTATCTTGTCATGAAATCCTGCTTTCAATCACCCAAGTTCATTTCAGTGGCAGCTTTCAACTGCAACTGAAAAGTTACGTCCTGTATTAGTCTCTGTGATGAGTTTTAAGTGTACTATAGTTTTTCTCAGATAATGGAGAGTCTAATTTCCAATTGTCACTGCTTAGTTTCTCGAATGATGTCATTGTAAAATCCAGGTGGTTTGCTATAACCACCCACAAAGAATAAAGGAATATGGGTGGGGGTTTTTCTTTTTTGGGTCTTTTTTCTGTCTTTTTTGCCAATGAGTGGGGTAGCGTGAAGGTTTTGAATGCCTAGAATTAAAGAGATCTAGATTTGCATGTTGAATGTCTTCATGAAGTTCCATTTGCTGAGGGAGAGGGATGGGAGTGGAAGCTAAGATAGACTTCTTTTGGTGTTCTTCGTTTAAATGAGCTCTTTATGTTATCTTTCTGGTTTAATGCTTGTCTCATCGATATAGAGAATGAAGTTGATTTTATAATCATGCAGGTTGGAGCTCAAGGGCAACAAGTTTCTCTTTGGAGAATTTCTGGACTTTAAAGGGAAGCAAGACGATATTCAGGCTTTAAGGAATGTTAAAAGATCAAAAGTTGGTCGTCTTATTATCCAGAAAACAAGCATGTTGGGTTTAGGTAATTACTAGTCCTTTGTGTAGTTGCATCTTCTTTGAGAACATTAATTCTGGAGAAGCAGTAGAATAATTTCTTTTTCTCAGGAGTCGGCATCAGTAACTGCTTAAAAAAGTCGTTACACTTGCTTGGTGTGGAATGTTGCACTTACAAACCATGTAATCATTTTTTGTCTACTGATACTAGAAGTGAATGGGCTAAGACCTGGGTTCTCTCTGAATTGGAGAAGACAGCAGTTTTTAATGGGGAAGACAACTGGAGTTTGGTTAGTTGGTCCATTATTTGATGGGATAATGGTGGTTTTGTGAATCCTGGGAGTATGGCAGTGGCGGGAGCCTGCACATAAAAACTATGACAGAAAGCCAAAACATTTTTTTTGTGGGTTAATTTCTATAGTGTGCATCACTTTTGAGCTGTCTTAAAAACCCAATATTTAAATAGGGAAGCTTGATACCAATAACTATATCCGAATAGGAAGGAACTCCATTAGCTAAGCAATCAACAAGCTTGAGTCAGTTAATCCAAGGTTTAAGTGAATTATTCTCAGCCCGTTTAGTTTTTAAATACTTCTGAACTTTGACATGTCAAACTCTAGTGTTTATTGTGTGCTGCAGTTTCACTTTCCTTATGCTAATCTCTACACCTTATGCAGCTCACTCAAAACTTCAAGTTCTGTACTCTTCTCGTGACTACCGTGGTGAAGGGACTTCTGCATCAGAGTGGAAGGAAGTGACTGTTAGATCAAACACCGAGGTGTTATTTCAGCCCCAGAATTCTACTAAAACACGCAAATACAAGCTATCCTCAGTTATTTCGATGTCATTGAGTGCCTGAAAGTTCTGTTGCCGACGATGCATGCCCGAGGGTTGTGCATAATGTAACTTCTACGTGGTACTCTTCCTTCAATTTTGAATTTTGACATAATGTTATCACATGTGAAGTCTACTATAACGTGATCGCTATTGCCTCTCTCTGTATGTGTCGGTCGATGGTGTAAGACAAAGTAAAAGGGAAGGATCATGAGATTCTCTCTGATTATTCTTGTATCCTTTGTCCATTTTTTTTTTTTTTTTAAATTCTTCAAGTTCTTTGCATGAATTTCTTTGTGATGAATAGTTATTTGGAAAAAAGTGGCCGTCGGCTTACTGTTGAATCTGTGGCTGGAGTGTGGTGTTCCTGTTGAAGATCATGTTTGAAACGAATAACTGGATGAACTTATCATTCAAAGTTTGGAATTTTGGTGGTGGTAAAAGAGGACGGTCTGATGTGCTTATAAATGGAATGGGGAAGAAAGGCGTAGCACAAATCTTTGAACTTAAAAAACACTGGCCAAAGAAACGTGCTTTAACCTGTATGAACTCCTCGGCAGACAATAACATTGCCACGGCTCAAATCTTAAATGGTTGCTGCTGCTGCCGCCACAACACTGAGCGTTGGAATAGCAATAATATTCCCATGGAAAGTTAAATTAGTAACGCATTAGCGTCCATTTTATTTATTCAGTCATGTGAGAGAAGGTGCGGTGCTACCCGGCTCAACTATTGCGGGATTGGTAAGTAATCTCCCTGCAAAAGAAAGTGTCAATGCATATTCTATTCGGCTAGCAGGTTTGCGAATCCGATTAGATCGAAGGAGTGGTCTTGCACCTCTTTTGAATTTTTTTCACTACAGATGAGATTTGAATCCCCCAACCTACAGTTCAAAGAGAGATTTAATCTCTTTTTAGTGGTCATTGAGCTAAAACTTGGCCGTAGTTAGTACCATAAGAATGAGCCACTGGCCATTTGATCTAGTGGTCATCACCCTCCTTGATGGTGCTGGAGGTCAGGGGTTCTACCCCCGTCTCCCTCAAATTTGCCACAATATGTGGCTGGTCTTAGTTGACCATCTCCCCTTATCCCTTCCCCCTAGATTAGATTAGATTAGGTTATATGACATCTACTGTTGCCGACAAAAAAAAAAAAAAAAAAGTACCATAGGAATGAGAGAGAGAGAGATTAACAGTGACGGATGAGTGAGATCAACAGTGACGGTTGGAAAGGTGGTAGTTGGGTTAGAGAGGGGTTCAACGGATCGACCGCGAGTGCAAGACGGTTGGGAAAAGACAAAAGAATAACGGACAAAGAGAATCAAGAATTTGGTTGGGTGCTGGCTAGAGCTATTAAGTGGAACGAGCATGTTGAAAGCTCGATTTAGCTCGACTCGATAAAGCTCGAACTCGACTCGTTAATTGTGATAAACAAGTCGACCTCGAGTTCAAGATATGTTAGTTTAATTAACAAGTCGAGTAAGGTCGACTCGTTTGTTATCCGAGTAGCTCGATAAGGAAGAATATATATGTCATTTCACAATTTAAAAGTATAAAAATTAAAAATTATAGATTTTTATTGGGGTTAATTTGCACAAGTTCAAGCTTACAATATGCCACATGTCCAAGCTCGAGCTCGTGCAAATGAATTGAGCTCGAGCGGCACGTTCATTTGGCGAGTCGAATCCAAACACATTTTAAAGCTCATCCGCTGGTCGAGCGGGCTCGACAATCAAATATTCGGTTCGACTAACGGCTCTAGTGATGGCCCTCTCACTCATCCACCCAAATTCAATTTAATTCCATGGCAAAATCGCCAGAGTTGGTGGGATTTTGATCTCTAATCCTCCCATGGGCGCATACGAATATTATAATTACACAATAATAATTTGTGAGAATGTGGTTAGTTGGAGTGGAGCAGTGACCTGAACTTCACGCAGAGTGGGGTGGAGTGGAGTGAAGTGGAGTAGGGTTTGTACAACTAGTATTTCCGATTTGCTCATGGATTGTCGTCCATCGCCTACCGCAGCCGCAGGAGCAGAAGCACCGCCACCAACAACATATCGCATAGGCTACGCGCTTTCACCAAAGAAAGTGGAAAGCTTCATCCAGCCCTCTCTCCTCAATCTCGCCAAACAACGCCACATCCATCTCCTTCCAATCGACCTCCACAAGCCCTTATCCCACCAGGGCCCTTTTGATTGCCTCCTTCACAAGTTATCCGGCCCCGACTGGACTCAACAGCTCCGCCACTTCTCTTCCCTCCACCCTGACGTCCCCATCATCGACCCTCCCGACGCCGTCCTCCGCCTCCACGATCGCCTTTCCATGCTTCAAGTCGTCCGCGACTTACACCTACCGGAACCAATCGACGAATCCGACTCCTCTTCTTCTTCTTCTTGCTCTTTCGGAATCCCTCACCAGGTATTGGTCCCAGATCCCCAACATCTCCGAGAACAGGGATTGCCTAGCCCCCTCGAGTTTCCGGTGATCGCGAAGCCCTTGCTCGCTGACGGGACCGCCAGCTCTCACCAGATGTCTTTGGTCTTCAATCACCAAGGATTGAAGCAATTAGAGGAGGAGGAGGAGGAGGCGCCATTTGTACTGCAGGAGTTTGTGAACCACGGCGGCGTCGTCTTCAAAGTCTATGTTGTTGGGGACTACGTGCAATGTGTCAAACGGAGGTCCTTACCAGACATCCTCATGGACGACGACAAAGCATTGGGAAGATTGGGGGCCTCCCACCACAATTTGTTGACCTTTTCCCAGATTTCAAATCTCGCCGCCGCCGCCCCCCCTTCTTCTTCGTCTTTTAAGAATAACGATGAGCAGCAGCTGCAGGAGGAGGAGGAGGAGGAGGCAGCCCAAATGCCTCCGGTGAGTTTCCTTGCTCGCTTGGCCAAGGCCTTGAGGAATGCCTTGGGCTTGCATCTCTTCAACTTCGACGTAATCAGGGACGGTCGGTTTGGGAATCGGTACCTTGTCATTGATATTAACTACTTTCCCGGTTATGCTAAGATGCCCTCGTACGAGACTGTCTTAACTGACTTTTTCCTGGATCTTCTGCGCCGCAAACAACAACAATAATTGCCACTCTACTACAAGTACTAGTGCTTTACAATTACAAGAGAAGAGCAGCAGCAGCAGCAAAAGCAACAAGGACTGAACTGGATGCTTTTATTAACTAGCAAGCTATTAGCGCTGTTGAATATTTTTACTTGCTGCTGCTCACTCTTCACTTTCTCCTAATGACTAGTAGTACTAAATAACAGAGGAAGATCTTCAAAACCCTTTGACATAAATAATCCTCATTTTCATGGTGACCCCTGAAATCCCCCGTCATAGTACTAGATATGTTGGACCAACAGGTTTTCAGTTGGTTGGAGACATTTCTTATCCATGAATTGACTACTACCTTTTTTTTTTTTTTTTTTTTTTTTTGTTTAACTTCGTGTGGTCAACATTGATTGATTGATTGGTTGATTATCAGGTGTGGCTGCTGTTAGAATTCTGTCTGTGTGTCAGTAGTATCATGGTTGGAATCTAATCTAAACTCGTTTTGATTTGCACCCATCTTAGCGTTTTTCTTTCCGTTTGACATCCCTCTCACTTGATTGTATGTCATGTCGTGAGACTTTGGTGACTGAGGGATATCAGTAGTGCTTTCTTATTAGATTTGTTGCTCAGGAGGACTATTATATTTGTTGCGGTTGAATTTTGGATGCTTCTTTACTGTACTGTGATGGATGTTTACTGAATAATAGCAAAGGGCACACACATATATATATATCATTCTGAACTGCTGCTGCTGCTGCTACGCAGGTCGACAAAAGAAGTGCTGCGACTAATGGTTGGAATTGGTCCCGTCGGATACTAGTGCTCGGAAGAACAGCCCACGCAAATGAGCATTATTATTATAAGTAAAAAGAGATTGTAATCTTCGCGAGGGAGAAATTGGAAGTGGAAAAACCAGGCGGCGGCGGCAGGCAGAGCATTTCTTTTGTGAAGTTAAGGCCACGACGGAGGAGAAAAAAGACCAAAAAAAAAAAAAAAAAAGCCCCAAAAAAGTGCGAGTGAAGCAGCATCTTGGGAGTTTGTGGGCTTTGTTACTTAAAACAAACCTTTACTCGGTGGAAGATTCCTTGTCCGGTCCTAAGATGAGTCGCTGCAATTCAGAAATTTAAACCTTTGCACTACTCCACCTGAAGTAAAATTTAAAAGGTTTGTGATAGTGCATCCCTTGTTTGATTTAGAGGTATAATCCTCTTCTTCTAAGCTAAAAGGTTAGAATAAAAATGAAAAGAATAGGAATAAAAATTGACGATTGACCCAAAAAAACCCTTCTTGGGACCGTATGTACGAAAGACTTTGTGCGAGGACGGCGAGAATGCCTGCCGGCCGGCCTCCCTAAATGCACTGTATGTAGTGTCTGTAGTAGCGGAGCAGTATAAATTATTTAGCAGACCAGAAATAGAAATAGGCCGCTATAGATTAGATAGTGGCAAATACCAGTTGCAGCTTTCAAAGGGAGTGCTGAAGTGCCAAGGTAAAATCAATCAGTGGCAGAGCAATAAAATGTTTGGCCAGCGAAGCATGGAAAGTTTATGGGACGCTGCAACTGGCGGGTGTGGTCCGGGAACAACTCCCAGACGATGGAAGGCGATGGGTGATGATCTCAGGGGGACTAAACTCAAGCTCACTTTCCCCCACATTAAATTTAATCCCGCACAGACGCAGCACCACCAGCCACCCTCCTCCTACTTCAAAGAGGAGTTTGTGGTGGTGGATGACCAGAATCGGATCAAAGTGACTTGGGTGTTATAAAAGGCGGATTCCTGGACCTGGGCTTCACCCTCTATCGTGTTACTTTTCAGGTCATCCCCAACCCCATCGATCAATTTTCCTGCACCACCAAGGCAACCATCGACTGCCGCGCTCGACGGTGACGCTGCTGCTAATGAAAGCTGCTGCCAATTACCTTCACACTCGCTATCCCTGTTCCGCCCCCACCTGACTTCTCTCCCAGCATTTTCACCATAGTTACTTGTTTATGCTTTTCCTTGCTCCGCTTCTTTCCTTCTTTTTCACTTCCTCCTCCTATGGGTTTCTCCAAAATGAACAATACATACTCTTCCTTTTTTCCCCCCTTTGCCTGCAGTGCTTGGATTTCTTGAGTAGATATTACCAACGCCCGCCAATTGGTGTTATGGTGTCTCTGCGTCTGTACAAGCTAAACTCCATCTTCAGAGTTTCAGCCACGTATAATAGTAATGGTTGGCCTTTGTGATTGCGTTCTGGTGAAAATGCCTTAATTCCTAATTGTATGCATGCAACAACCACCCAAGGAAGCCGATGGAAACCATCAAAGGTACCATAATCATAATCCCCACTGCAAATTGGCTTAAATTCCTGACTAAAAAGTTGCATGCCAGAGCTCCACATTTCTATCGCTCTAACATCTTCAAAGTTGAAATAATGAGCTAATTTACATTTTTCCGCAAGGGTGAAACCTCCCGGCTCCCACCCCACCATCCCCTCCTCTCTCCTTCCCCCCCCCCCCCCCCAACCCGCAAAACAAAAAAAAGTAACAAATCCAGATTATTTACTTTCTTCACAGATAAAAGTAAAAAGCTATTATTTATCCATGTAAACTTGCACGCTAGTGATAAAGGAAAGCTTTTTACTATACTATACTTTGGGTACAAGATACTACACATCTCATCAACTCAATTTTGAAGACCAAATCATTTCACATGTGCAGCTAAACCTAGAAGAGCTCATCCCTGTATCCATCATGCTGGGGACTGCAGAGCCACCGCCAACTTTAAGGACTCGTTCCCCCTCCCCTACCGGTACATCGCCTATAATCCCCGTTCATTGTCAAACATCTGTCAAGTACTGCTAACATTTTTGCGTGCGGCATTCTTTTATTGAGCAAATTGCACGCAGCCCCGCACTATGTACCATCGGCCCAGAGTCCGTATCCCTTGTCCTATTCATACAGTTATTGGTTTCTATACATTACCTTAATCAGGTTGAGGATGCCATTGCCAACTGCCACTGCAGCGGCTGCCAAGACAGACTAATTGGCTGTTTTAAAACACAACTCAAGCTGACTTGCTTTTTTGATCAGGAAGAATTTGCCAAGTCCCTCAGGTTAAGATGAATACTCATTACCTTCATAATGTTATTTGCTGCATTCCATTTGGACCATCTCCAGTAAATAAATCTATTCGGATTAGCAATTAAGAACCTGTGCCAGAGAGAAGAAAGTACAAAGGAAGATCACCTCAGTTGAAGAATGGATTTGCTCCACAGCAATTAAGAATAGCACTAGTTCAAGAAAGAATTCCCCATATGGCCACATCACGACATTAGTCTTCAATAAGCCCCCTCCCACTATTGTCCTAACACTCGCTGCTTTGCCTTAAATAAACCACGCCTTAAAAATTCAAAGCTTCCCAAGCATACGCACACAAGTCACACCCTCCACAAAATAATTAAAATATCTCTGGTGACATGCATATGTATTGTAAGATTAAAGTGAAAAGACTAAGTTTTGAAGAGCAAGGACATATAATCAAATCAAAGATCTTACCCATGCTTTTACACTATACGAACATTAAACAAATTGACATCCTCCTCCTGCTCCGCTGTCTGCAATGACGATTCTCTTATTCTGCATCGTAGGCAGAAGGCTGCCTGATTCTTTACATTTGGCCCACTTTGAAATCTTTCTGTCTTCATTCCTCCATAGCCTAGAGGCAGCCAACTTAAATCCACTCTTTGCATAAGTCACGAGAAGCATGACAAGCTCTCTGCAAACCACAGTCATGATAAGCCTACCAGTTCAATAAAACCTTGATATCATTGTTAAAACCTTTCCAGTTGAGTAAATAGCATTCACCTTTTCCACGAAGATGGTCTTAACACTAAACAAGTAACAACTAACACCCGAGAAACTTAATTACTCTCTGAATTGGACCATGCACCTTCTGGTTTTGCAGAGATGTATTAGTAAAAGGACTTTTACAGCAGTTATCATTCTCATGACGCTGTTTTCACAATAACTTTGATCTCCTCACAATATGAACTACTCTACCTATTTTAAGTGAGAACAGATAAGGGCCAACCAGAGAAGTCCACACTTAAAAACAAGGGTTTAATTACATACAATTCCCATGAAGTCTTTCCAATTTTTTAATGAACCCACACGATATATTTCTAGTAAACTCGTATTCCCAGATCAGGAATTTTGTTAGAGTGAAAGTGTAAAGGTCAACTCATATTTCTAGTCTCAAAGATTTCCTATTCATCTCACCAATTGTTTATGTCCTTCCATTCAAATGCTCAAAATGAACTAAGATTATCGTTGTCACTACCAGGGTGATATATACATGTCTGATATTTAAGAGAGAAGCGGCATAATACTCACAGCGGCGAGCAAGGAGATCGACCACCATTGACATAGTAGATGAACAAGTAAGAGTCATAGTGCTGGCCGTTGATGAAATAAAAAGCATGCAACCTTCTTACACACTGAAAGGACATTTTCTTGTACAGATGGATGGCAGGGTTGTTATATGAAATGACGTGTAGGTAAACTGCTCGGCAATTTGAGATGCTAGCAGCATATTTGATAGCCTCACGAATTAGGGAACTGGCTGAAAGCCAAAACAGAAGAAACATTCACTAAATAGGAAGTAACTAAATTCAAACTATGCACATTTTAAGGGAATAAGCCCCCACCGATGCCAAAATTTCTGTAAGAATCTACCACTCCCAGAGTCAAGATATAAACCAGTGTCTGGTCTGATTTTGATGAGTCAAACCTGAGCAAATCTTCAACCTACAAGACACCAGTACAAGTTAATCTCAATGACGACCTTGCAATCCACCGGCTATTACAATAGACAGTTTTACATTCTGAATAGATGAATTCATGAACAACGACTTGGTCCAAAATAGTGAAGAGGTTCACATATGCTGCGCAAATACCAATAACAATCAAGTACATAAACCTCACCTCGCTGTCTTTAGCCATAACAATCCTCGCTGTAAGAAATCCTATAAGTTCATCACTGTGACCATTGGGCCGATTACGATCGACAGCTCCCCAAGAAACAATATCGCGGCCATGAACGACATTATGGAAGAACTCGGTCTCATACCTAGGTCAACACAGGATAAGGCTAAGTAGCAAAAGAACTTATTAATAAGGATAATCATGATGGGATCACCTAACCTGATAGGAAATAGATCACAATGGATCCTCTCAAGGACCTCCAAATCAGATGGTCGAATAGGCCTGTAAGATATTACTGGATGGTGGGAGCCTTTGAGTTTTAGCATTGAACAAGTAGAATCAGTCTCCAACAAATATTTGATTTATTTCGAGAATTTGCACCCAAATTGCTCCTTCCATTTAGGCACTGTCAAGCAAGAACGCCATAAAATGTCTGAAGCATGGTAAACAAGTCCTTCAATTTAAGCCGATAGCTTTGAACTTCAAACGCCTTGCATTATCACAGGAAATCAAATCTTGTTTCCTTCCCAACTATCGCCTTCCCTCTCTTTGATGCTAGATAATAAGAAACCCTGTAGCTGCAATTTCCAATGAACAAATCCTGAGTACAAGATAAATTCAGGGCACACGTTTGGGACTGTCTTAAGCTATAGACCATCCGAGACTGCGCTGTATCAGTTAAACAGTGAATATTATTTGGAACAAGCAGCATTTAATCAAGGACTGTAACCACAACAAGTTCTGATAGACCAGTTAAACAGTGAATATTACTTGGAACGGAGATGCAAGGTCAGGGGCCCCTGGGCATTACGGACGATAGAATAAAGAATATGGGGGCAAGGTGGATTGACATTACAAGTAACTCAGAAAGAAACACTCAATCATAATGCCTGCCAAGATTCAAGCAATCCTAGTCTACGGCACAACAACAACAACAACGATGTGCCAAGTTCTCAGCTTCATGCCAATTCAAATCATAAATGAAATCCCAAAAAGTGCAAGTTTTGATGAAGAAAACAAGAAGGGTCTTATCACTCACTCAAGTTCTGAGCTTTATGCCAATTCACACCACCAATTGCTAATAAAAACCTAAAACGAATTTTGTCAGACAGTCCCTGAGTTCTCAGCTTTCTGGCAACCCAAATCATCAGTTCGTGGGTGGGAGGGGGAAACAAAAGGGATTAGCTACAACTTCGAGAAGACAAAAAGTTTTCGTCCAAATTAGCCCAAATTTGAAGGATTTCGAATAGCAATAAACGGGTTAAAGGGATCCAAAAAATAAATAAATAAGTAATCCAACTTCAAGTGCTGATATACGTGTAACACATGTAAATGAAACTGAGGATAGCAAATTCTTGCAGAATTACAAAGAAAGAAGGATACCAACCAAGTCGAAGCCTAGCCAAGATATTCGCGCAGGAAAAAAAAAATCCCGGGCCCAGGCAAAAAGCGGGTGAGAATTAGATCTCTGCAAGGAAACTTAACGGGGGCCTTCCCTTGTAGAAGGAACGTACACCAGCTGCAAAGAAAGATCCAACAGGATGAAACAAAAAAATTGTTCCCAAAAACAGAAAAAGAAAAGCTTAAAATGGTACAAGTAAACGGCTGCGCTCAAAAGGCCAGGTTAAGGGAGGCGAAAATGGAAAAGCAAAAAAAAAAAAGAAATTGATTGAATGAAAAGTATTCTAAGATAGGATTTGCGGTTTGCTGTGCGTTCTCTTCAACTTCTTTCTCTTTTATGTTTGTTTTTTTTTTTTTAAATTCTTTTTTGCAGTCAACGGAAATAATACTACTAATATAACATTGGAGCAATATAAATAATATATACTAATAGTTTACTACTAGTCTACTACTACTACTGCATTTTTCATCAACATAAGTATACGTAGATAACGTGCGAACAGCGTTCAGCCAAAAGTTTCGTCGTCCTCTCACGTGCCCGGCATGTGGATTGGAAGCATCATATTGTTTGCGCATTGCGCGTTAGCTTCCCATCTGGCCTCACCTGCAGTGTCCCATGTGCCCGTTCTTTCTTCTTTTTCTGTGCGTCTGCTGCATTTGCTTTCTTTCTGCTGTCTTCTCTCTCCAACTGCATTTACTTCACCCCATAATGTTGCTTTGCCACTTATCCGTATGCTCTGGAACCTGGTACAACATTTTGTTGAGCTCTTGTATTCAGTTCTCTCGAGCCCGTAGCCTTCTTACCGCCCAAGGAGCTACCACCTTCGCTGTTGGCTGCATCGGTCCAGATCTTATGCCGTTCGTTTGCCTTTCCTCCTCCTTTGTTGTAAACTTTCTTCTTTTCTTTTCTTTTCCTTTCTAGTGAGGTCCGATCCTCTCTTCAAGTTTCCTCTGTTCATTTTTTCCCCCTAGCGTGCAGTTTTCTGTTTTTTTTTTCCCTCAGCCACTATCTTCTTTCCGCCCAAGGAGGTGCCATCTTCTCTATTAGTTGCAGTTGTCCGGATCTTCTTCCGTTCGTTTGGTTCTTCTCCTCCTCCTTCATTGTAAGTTTTCTTCTTCTTCCTTTCCGGTGAGGTGCAGTCTTCGTTGTTAGTTTTCTCTATAAGTTTTAGCCTCTAAAGTTGATATTTTCGTTCTTTGTTTCGCTTGGCAAGCCTAAGACCTTTTTCTCCCCTCCCGAAGACCACCTGTTTGCTGTCGGGAGAGGTACGATCTTGCTCTTGCTGAGTTGTGTATTCTTTGTTTCCCCCAGATTTATAACATGTCTTTGATTTTTCTGATTATTCTTCTTCGCTATATTTTTTTATTTTTTTTCCCAGAAAGCTACTTCATTCTTCGTTAGTTTTTTTTCTCCTACGCTATATTTTTTATTTTTTTCCCCAGAAAGCTACTTCATTCTTCATTAGTTTTTTCCCCATAAAACTCCCTCTTGTCTGTCGCGGCAATATTGCTCTACCGCTTAGGCAGAGGTTCTGAGCCCTGGTATAGAATACTGTTAGGGTATCCGATTAGGTTTCACATGCTTCCCATGTGCCCCTGTTCCCTATTTTTGTGGTTCTGCAACGTTTGCTTTCTTCCCACTAACTTTTCTTTCTTTTTTTACTAGCAATGTTGCTCTGCCACTTAGGCAGAAGGTTTTTTTAGGTTTCCGATGATGGAAAATATGTGGTCGTCTTGCGTACATGCTGTTTACAGCGAAAGGAGCATCGACTCTCTGCTCTCTCGCTGTCTGGGTTTGAGTGGTCTGAATCCTGTCCCAGCCGTTGTTGTTTTCCTTCGTTGTAAGCTTTTTTTTTTTTTTTTTTTAACGATCGCATCCGTCCTCTATTTTGTGAAGCTAGCCTGTATGCTTTCCTTTTTTAAGCCATTTTTTGTGTTTAGATCTGCTGTGAGTTTAGCTGGTTTCAGGTCCTCTAGATCTACTATTTTGCTCTCCGGAAGGTTGCAAACTTGCTCTTTCAATGATGTGGTTGTGTGTTTTTTTTTCTCTTGATTTCAGAATAGCTTCTTCCAAGGCATGTGCAGTTGTGGGTATTTAGAAGACTTGGGTTCTGTTCTCTTTTAGGTTCTAGCTAGAATTGTGGTTTTTGAACCATCCTCTTGCCTTGTGTCTAAGTGGTTTCGACAGTTGAACTAGAAAGGTCTGCTATGTAGATGTTCGCCAATGATGTGAACCATGTTTTTGCTCTTTCAATGCTTTCCTCTTTTACTGGTTTGAAAAGTGATTCTTGAGATGAATATGGGATTATGTACTAAATTGTAGTGAGTACTAAAACATTAGTAGTATATGCTCTTTTTAGGTATAGCAATGTTCACAAATGATACTGATATGGGGATACTGCCTTATCTTTGAATTCTAGCTTCACTATAAGCTCTGACTTGAAATTGGGGAAAAATACATCCAGTTATCTCTATTTGTAATCGGACTTGAAGATTTTCTTCATCAAGAAAGAACCCTGACTTGTGCTTTTTCAAACTGATGTCGTGTGTAGTGCTTGTCCCCTTTGTAGAAAGGTCTCTTAGTGTAGTGTTTTTTTAGCCTTGTTAAATGTAATTCAAGAAAATTATCTATTTATGTATAACTGCAAAGTAGCCTACTTACTGCAACAAAAGTTCTTCTGTCCTTTGGAACTTTGCTAGCAAGAAGTCCTATATTTGTGACTTGCTAGCCTGTTTGATTTCATGTTGTGGCAGATGGCCATATACTGGTACGTCAAGTGTGTTTCTTTTTTGTCTCCTAAACAGCAATATCCTTATTGTAATTATGTGACCAATAATATTTCCAATTCAACGTTCCTCTTCTCCCATTCCTACCTCTTTCATTCTCCTGCTTCTGCTTTCGCTCCTTCCCCTCCCCCTCTGGTTGTATCAAATGATTTTGGTATGTTTCTATCTGTCTCATCTTCTTCCTCTCTTAGATTTGAGTTCTGTATTGTTAGATTTGTTTTTGACAGTTATAAAGGTTTCCTTCTCTTTTGCCTTTTAGATGGTTACATGAATTTTGATTATTGTTTGTATTTTTGTTATCAGATCATTCTGGGATGCCTAGCTTCCCTCTTTCTTTTCTTTTTATTTTATATTTTTTCCTTTTTAGTCCATAATTTTTCTTTTTCCTCTCAAATTTCCAGCCAAGCATATATGGCCAAAGAAAGAAAAACTGGAGAAGTTGCTCTAAAGAAGATATACATGAACAATGAAAAAGAAGGGGTATTGTTATTCTACTCAATTTCTTATTTTCTTAGTTTGTGGCATTTTAATTTCCTTAGTGGATAAATGGTTATGCCTGCTCTTTTCAGAACACTCATAATTGAAGCAACCACTAAATTCAGATTTTTTTTCTTGTAGTTCCCTGTAACTGCCATGCGTTAAATAAAAATTCCAAGGAAGCTGTAGCATGAAAATGTTATTAAACTGAAAGAGATTGTGGCCTCTCCTGGTACTCATCCTTCTCCATATGTTCAGTGTGGTTATTTAATTCATAAACATCGAACATATACTATATGTTTTGTTGTCTTATGTATAATATACTCTTTTTCAGGTCGTGAGGCAAATAAGCAAGTGAATCAAGGTAACTTGACGTGTAGAAATTTTCAAGCTTTTGGTTCCTATTTCTGTGAGAATTCAATGCCCGTAAACTCCCAGATATTGAGATCGCAAATGGTATTTTATTTTTGAAATGCAGAAGAAGAAATTGCATGTTAACAAATGAAAGCCAGGAGGGAATCCAGGAGGGAAAGCCGTAAAAACAGGAGGGAAGAAGCGGTGCTATAATCTTCTTGGAAAGGAAGACAAGAGGGAAAAAGTGGCCGAGTTGTGTTTTGTGTGGTTAACCCTAAGCCTAGAAAAAAGAATAATAAAAATAGATACACCTCTTGCTGAGTTGTGCGTTTAGAGTTCTTCCCTTCTACTTGCGTTGTGTTTGCAAACCGTGTCCTTCCCTTGTGGTTTAGTGGTTCTGATATCTGATCTACAAAGGTCTGCTATTGGCCTGTGTTCTTGAAGAACTCTGTGGTATCTGTCTCTAAAACAAAAAAAAATGTCGCTCTGTCCATGCTCTCTAGGGATATCTATGGGCTTGGGTTTGTCCATGCGCAGTTGTGCATTTGGAAGGTTTGGCTTGTGTTCTTATCTGATGTGTTTTGTCCCCTTTCTTTTCATCTGATTTTTTGTTCTCTGGAATGTTGCGTGTCTGGGCATCTCCATCTATTTTTCCCACCGTGCGTAGCACGGTTTATGCCTCCTAGTTAATCCGAAAGTAGCACAGCATAGCTAGGGCTGCTGTCGAATCGAACTTGAGTAGTGCACTACTCGAGATCGACTACTCGAGATCGACTCGAGGCAAATATAACTAAACTCGAGCTTGTTAATTTTTTAAAATTCGAGCTCGACATCAATTTATGGAACTCGAGTTCGAGTTTAATTAAATGTAATCAATTCAAATCAAGTTCAATTGAACTTATTCGAGCTCAATCAAGCCTAATCAAGCTCAAGTAGCCCTCAGGGGCTTGGTCTGGTGGTTGAGGTTGCTGAAGATGGAGCCTCAGGTCCCTGGTTCGAACCTTGCTGCCAGCAAGTTGGTGAGGGTGGTGAATAGTCTGCGGGGTCCACTCCCTGCGGGACACACCTAAAAAAAAAAAAAAAAGCTCAAATAATAAAAATTAATATTTTATATATAGTTTTATATAAAGAATATTATTGACATTTCACAATAATAAAATTTAAAATATATATTATTAAAAACTCGATAAAGCTCGTCAAGCTTTCGAGTATCATATTTCAAAGATCGAACTCGACTCAATAGTTCTAACGAGCAGCTCGAGCTTGAGCTGCTGATCAAATAGCTCACGAGTTCGAGCCAAACTACTTGATTCAGCTCCACCCCTAAGCACAGCACAACACACCGCTCTCCTCTCCAGTGACTAATAAATTTTACATTCATTTTGTCCGAATGAATTGGGGATCTATATCACTGCTACTTGTACCATTCCAGATTTAAGCCTCTATCATTAAACCCAGAAATTGTTTCACAAAATTTTGCAGCCTCAATTTGTCACTAGTACTGCTTTGTAAGCGTATGGTGGAAGGTGTAAATATGTGGTTTTTTTTTTTTTTGCTATTAATTAATAGGTTAATATCTTAGGTTACGTTTGGAGTTTGCTTTTTGAAAAGAAAATTAAAACAAATATTTATCCTCAATTTGTGACACTTTTGCTAAAGCCCTACGTAGTAAAAAGTAAATCCCAGTTGTTGCGAGCTGTCGCTGCAAATGATGAGCTATAGATTACTTTCTCACCCGATAGAGACATATTATATTTTGACACAAAACCTCAGGATGAGAAACAAAAAAGAAGGAAATTGAGACTCAGGCTTCAGCGCTCTCCTCCTTGCCCTTCTTCCAACTTCGGTACTCTGGTCTCCTCAGTAGTACACAACATTCTTTCTGCATAAACTCCACGGGACGGGACTCAGAGGCTAGAGCCAGACAAGAATCGATGGTTCAATACCGCTTCTGCAGTTGGCCTCTTCCGGAAGTCACGATTGAGCATTGCCTACGCCCACATAAACGAAGCCACTTTTCATCAGTGCGATATAGCAGCAGATCGGCTTCATGCCCCAAGTTCAGCTGATGCAGCTATATCCAGGGCTATTCTATCTATCTAACATAATTGGCATCAGTTAGAAGTCAAATCAGCAGCAATGCATGCAATTCACACACCTGCAGCAATTCCCAACCAGCATTATCCCTAAGATCCAGATACCTGACACCTTCCAGCAATCGATCATCAGCTAAACAGTATCTGCCAGAAACGAAGCAAAATGAACCAGGCACACGGGTGTTTTTTCCTACATGCAGACACTTCGAATGCAGTTTGACAGAAGCAACACAAAAAACCGGTTGTGTTGGTTCATCACGACCACGTGTTATATTTAAAATGCATCAGTACTTGCAAGTGTTCATTTATCTTCTCAATGCTTGCAATTTTTGCAGAAAAATTGTTCTTACTCTCTTGTAGCTTCAAGATCAAGCTGGAAAGTGTTCTCCAGAAGCCTCTGCATACTCAAGACATGAAAAAAATTAGAAAAGGGAGGTAGCAACCCATCACTTCAGAAGAACTGATTCTTATTCATATAAGAACTGAACAATCCAATTCAATAATAATGGCACACCTGCAGTGATAGGCTATCCATTGTTCCAGCTTCACAAAATGGAAGGAAAGCTAGGTAGGCCAAAAGTAGTCCGGCTTCATATCTACAAAGTGCAAAAGAACAATGCTTTAAAGGATGTAGCATCTAATCATCCAACAGAATGAAATGTCAGTGTCCAACTCTTCACATGTCATCTGCTATTCCAAAGGCCCTTTTCTCCATAGGAGTGAAAGCTCCTGCAGCTGATGCCCGTCTCCAAAGTCCTTCTGATAGTGTCCCAGAATCATTTTCTAGCTGGGGATACCTAGGAAGCCAAGGAGCTGAGCAAATTTGCCATGTTACAGAAATACAAAATTAATAATATATCCTATCAAGCACCAAAGATTGTTAATCAGTTCGCCTTTTCTCTTGTATTCGCCTAAAAGAATCTTTAGTAAGCAAATCACATAGTGAACCATATGAAAATACATGAAAAAGACATTGAACACAGGAATGACTAGCTTTTTTTATTAAGAAAAATTAGCAAGGGAGGGGCAGGATTTAAGACGCAGGGAGGAAGAAGGGGGATTTGAAACCAAGACCTCTAATTCCTCAGGCCTCAATCATAGCCACTAGACCATGGCCTCACGGGAATAACGGATCTTTTGTTTTCTAAATCCTACCAAGCGCAACAACTTATTTGCAACCTGAAGATTGTTAGTTGTAAGGTTATTATGTATGACATTCTGGATCACGGCAGATACTACCCATCTGCTTGTATGGGTATAAATACAGTGCCCGATCCTTCTTGGTTTAGTAGCAATGAGATCCCCACACAAAGTGTTCATGGACAGGTATGGCATGCTAAGATGTCAAGTCTTATTCCCAATGACTGAGATGCTTACTTCAAACTTGATCATGATATAACCCACAAGAATAAGGAATGAACAATATGAAGGAACAGCAGCATCTTGTCCAAATTGGTGCTACACAAGAAATCTCAATATAACCAGCTATCCGTGGCTGTTTCTAATTGCAAGAAAAAAACAAGCACTCAAGTGGATTTTAGATCTACACGCATTGACAAAGCCACATTCCAGATCAAGTGCCATGTAACCAAAGAAGTATCTACATGTTCATGGGAACTGTTAGACTCCAAATGCGCAGGTACTTAAACAAAGAAATGGCAGTCCTTCTGATTAATACATAAAATTCTCCTTTTATACTTATCATTTTGATTCGGTCAGAGAAATGTCAGTCTGCTTATAGTGGAATATGCTGTAGGTTAACTCTTTCGATGGGATTACCTAACATCAACTGCAAAGGCAAGATCCCGAAGCCTCGGAACGAGGTAAGCGGCCTCTTTCTCAACCATTGTACTGTCATAGAGAAGATGAGGTGGGATGTACAGACATATGAATGAAAACAAACACAATGGCGGCCAAAAACAAGTAATCAGGAGCCAGATTATACAAATGCGTACTTGAGAACAACTGAATAAGGTCCAAGACTCTGATGTAGTCTGTCATTGTCATGCATGTATGCTAAGCCTCTCATGGTACCCTGGAACAACTTAGTGACAAAATACCTCCTCCGTCTTAGAGTTAGGTCTTTGTCAAAAGGGTTCCAAAACCTACTGTCTCCGTGATCAGGGTCTTTCGACATACTCTGACTTGAAACTTTAGCATAGTCTGCAGCACTATATATACCATCATTACGGAAAGCCAGCCACTGCAGATTAGAGATGATGCAGGGATTAATGGACGCCAAAAACATAAAAAGCAAAAATTGTGGGATTGCAGCAGACCTGCTCCCCTGTTTTTGTCTCAAATCCTCCAACAAGTAGCTGGATATTTTGACAAGCATCGTTTTGATTGCTCTGGAAGAATGATGAATAAAAAAAATCATCAAATGAAGCCAATTTACAGCATTAATATTGATCAAAAAACTCAAGTGATAGCTAACTGATGGGATTATACCTGAAGGAAAGCATGGGCATTTAGCTCGTTTGCAGCCATCAAATCGGCTTCAATGCCACCGACTTGTTGCCCAGGATATACCTGTTCAATAGAGTGACGTAAAAGATACAATGGATCTGATAAAAAAAAAAAAAAGGATTGACCACCTTCAAACAGCTATACGTGTTGAGTCATGTGTAGCAATTGAAATGAAGACAGTTCAGAGGGGTAGGTCGTCAATGTTACTCCAGAAAACAAAATCAAGAAAGTGCGTTAAAAAGAGAGAGGATGACGTTGAACATGCAAAAGCAGGGGAAGCAAAGGGAGAAGAAATATGTAAAGGCGTCAAAAAGAGGTGGCAAAGGGAATATGACTAGGAAGAAGCTATAATTAGATTTTTGGGTGAGTGAGAGCAGAGCGCAGTGGAAACGAATTAGTGCAGTATTGGAATCTTGAAGATGAATAATAAGAGCTGCTGCTGCAACTACTGCTATTAGTTTCTTGTAATACAAAACAATAGGTGGAAAACAAGGGAGGGAGGTGTCAGAAAGAGTTGAGTCACCTTGAAAACAACGGGAGTACCTCGAAAGGGACCTTGAGATATTCTGCCTTGATAAAGCCTGCAAAGAAGCGCTGGGTGATGGGCAGTATCAGAAGCAGTCAGTACAACAGGTTCAGAGTATAATACAATACAAAGAGCAGAAATGGGTAGTATGCATGGGACGTGGGTAATTATGTAGGGTAACTTGGGGTGCGCATTTCTTGAAATTACCTTAATCAGTTATAATCTGGTCATATTTTGAAGCTCCAGCCTCCAGGGGAAGAAAAGAAGGGGGGGAAAAAGGAGGGAAAGGGAATAAACTAGAAGCAGAAGTATATAAGTAGGAAAAAAAAAAGAGGGAGAGGAAGGAGTGACGGAGGTTGGTAATTGGTACTACTTGATTTACCTGATCTGGAAGTTGCCTTCTCCGACATCCTGAACTTTGAAGGACCCAAATATTCCAGAATCTTCAAGCTGGAGGGGAGCACTGCCCAGCATCCCTTCGGATCGCAAGCCTGAGTAACTGCCCAAAAAAATTTAATGATAATAATAAATAAATAAATAATAAAACAGGGCGCATTTTGATCATATGGAGTATTTATATATAACTTTCTTTGTTATTGTCATTCTTTAACAGCAGTAGTGTACCAGAACTAGTAAGTAAGCGGAATAGATAGCCTATAAAGTGATCAGGGACAGGATGATACAATTGAGCAGTTGTAGTAGGAGGAGGAGGAGGGGAGTGGGAAGTTGATGGAGAATAGTTCAATATAAGATGGAGGATAATGGTTAGTTTGGGAGGGAGGACCTGGTGATATTCATGAAACCATAGGTACCAATAAGCCGGCCCACTTGGAAACAATCTGGGTCGGTAACCAGACACGAAAATACTAGTCTTCTTCTTCTGCAACAGCCTCCAGGGACACGGCGAGGAAGAGGAGGGGGTCTGAGTCTCATCATCTGAATGTTGTTGTTCCTGCTGCTGTATTTGAAGAGGCGGTGGTGCAGAGGAGACTTGGGAGCAGTAGCAGTAGCAGAGCACGAGCACCCCCACCTCCTGGAATTGCTGCTATCACCACCAGTAGTAGTAGGAGTAGGAGAGGTACTTCTGTTGGGAAAAAGGAAGGAATGGTGGCGTGGTAGCGGTGGTGTTGTTGGTATTACCAGCATCGTCAAAGCTCCCACCTCCTCGGCCTTTCCTTTCCGGATACCCAACCAGAGGGTAGCGGAGGGGAGGGATATACTCTTGAGAGTAATAAGTGGGACCACCCAACACCCCTAAGTTACTCTCCATACTCCCTGCCTCCATGGTGCGCCGCCGCGTGTCTTCCGCAATTTTACCTGCACTTGGCTCCTCCAGTCCTCCTAACCATAGTTATTAGGGATAATATCAGAAACCTCCCCTGAGGTTTCTTCAAATATCACTTAGCTCCCCTCATATTTTAGAAATCTCTCTTACCACCCCTCAAGTGATAATGGGTCAGCAGTCAACAAGAAATCTAATCAATTGCCAATAATACCCTTTGCTCTGCTGTTAACTTATTCAGCTGATAAAATACAAAAAATGTCTGAGAGAGCAAGCATAGAACTGAACTGTATAAAGCCCGGGAAAGCTTTGCCGCCTAGAAGCATGGGTTCCGTACGAGTTGCATGGCGCCATTTTGCTGTGATAAGACGTCTAATTGCCCGGGAAATGAAGAGGAATGAAATACTACTTATAACTGTGATTGTTATTTGATAGTATCTTTCTAGAAATCTCTCGCTGGACATTGCAGAGGAGGAGAAATATTGCAAAGTATTGAATTGCATGCATTCGGTTGGAGTGAAAGTGATTTTGTCAAAACTGAGATGCACAACAAGTAAAAATCTTCCATTGCTAGTTGATATGATCAACATGTAGAAGGAGAACTTGTCGAGTGTCATGAAGTGTTCTGAGTTTAACATTGCCGAAATGATCTCTGTTTTGTTGTGTTTTTCTGTTTTGTTGGACTTGCTGTGGCTAAGTTCCATTGGTAGTTGATATGATGAACATGTAATAGGAGAAAATGCAGGTGTCATGAACTCTTGGTCATGAATTGCCTATAATGTCTCTGTTTTCCTTGTGTTTTTGTGGTTTATTGGACTTGATGACCAAGTTTAACATCCAACCAGAATGAATGCAACAGGGGACCTTATATTAAGTATTGCACATGATGGATGCTGTAAAGAATGTCTGATTTGATGAACTATGCTTGACCTTTATTTTATTGGTTCAAAAAAGTTGATGAATATTGAGTTGAAGCTAAGCTGTAATACATAACAACAGCTTAGGTTTGTAGCTTAACTTTGTAGCTTAGCTTTGCAACTTGAGTTTGACTTTGATTAAGCATGTGTGTGTTATACTATGTCCCTTGTGAGAATATGTGAAATTAGAGCTACTGATTCAAACTTTTCTTGCAAACACACTGATATGTAGGATGGGAAGAATTATTGCACATGATATTCTAGTCCATTACATGGGAAACACTATCAGAATTCCTAATGTTGATCCAAAGAACTACCAATATATTGACCTTCTTGGTGATGTTACTGATAAGGCAATGAATGATTTGCCTGAAAATTTGAACATGCTTGTGCATATGAAATGTGCGATTCCTAGGACAACAAGTTTTATGGACATCAGTAGTGACAAATCAGTCCTTGATATGTTCAAACTTCATGAAAATGATCTTGTTATAAACCTGTACTTGCTGCACCTGGATATTATTCCTACTACAGAGGAGAATATGATAGAGGACAGGAATAACCAACTTATTGTGGCACAGAAAGACATAGGAATTGAAAATGCTCCTATTCCTGTAGTTGACAGTGAGGGTGATGATGAGATTTATGCTTCTAGTTCTGATTACTCTTGGAAGGATGACATAGATAGTGATTTGGAAGATATCATAGCTGAAGATAGGGCCTTAATTTCTAGTAGTGATAAGGACGAAAATGACTTGTCTGATTATGAGGAGATTGAGGATGCACAAGTTTTGCCTGATTCAGAATCTGACCAAGAGACTGATCCTATGAGAGCAATTATGCAGTCAAAAATGTGGACTTACAATCCAAGAGAGGACATTGAGTTTGAGAAGGGATGCTATTTACCAATGTGGATGCATTTAGAGCAGTATTGAAGGACTATGCTATTCAAAAAGGATTTCCATTGGTGAGGTTGAAAAATGAAAAGAACAGGTGCACTGCCAAATGTGGTGCTGAGGGGTGTAATTGGAGGATTCATGCATCTCCGGTTGGTGATACAACCACATTCATGGTTAAGACATATACACCTGAGCATACGTGTGTCATGAATAGGAAAAATTCAGAAGCTACATCAAATTGGATTGCAAAAAAGTTAATTTATGTTATGAGAGATCACCCGAAATTGACAAGCAAGGGAGTAAAGGCTGAAATGCAGAAGCATGGAGTCTTGCCAAGTAGAATGCAAATTTACAGGGCAAAAAAAAAAGCCTTAGAACAGATAGAAAGATCACACAGTGAGGCCTATGGAAAATTACCAAAATATGCTGAACTGTTGAGGATGCACAACCCAGGAAGCATCATGAAAATTCACTATGATAGGCCAAATGTTCTGGTAGAGCCTAAATTTTTGAGATTGTTTATCTCTTTCAAGGCACAAAGAGATGGTTTCTTGGCAGGTTGCAGGCCATTTATTGGCTTTGATGGCTGCCATTTGAAAGGTGCATTTGGGGGCATTCTGTTGACTGCTGTTGCTTTTGATGGGAACAATAGTTTGTTTCCATTAACTTTTGCTGAGGTAGAGTGTGAAAATAAGGAAGTCTGGAGTTGATTTTTTTACTATTTTCAGGAATTCTTTGGACCATTTCCAGCCAATATTCCACTCACCTTCATGAGTGATAGACAGAAGGTATGTTTCTTCATTTCTGTGATTAAGCATGTTTCAGATTTCCTCCATAACTGTTATAGTGGCTGAATCAAGTGCCTGAAGAAAAGAGCTACTGAAACTTCTATATAGGGACTGATGACCTTGTACTTATATTTTATAGGGACTCAACCTTGCTTATGAGGAACAAGTGCCTAAAGCTGCTGCACGATATTGCTGTTGGCACATCTACTGCAACTTCAAAGTCAAATTTCCAGGATTGCTGCTGAGGAGATATTTTTGGCAAGTAGCTAAAAGTTATGATTTGATAGGACACAATGAGACTATGGAAAGAATAAAAAATATTAATATAGATGCTTGGAGATACTTAGCAAACATTCCTAAGTGTAATTGGGCAAGGCATGCATTTTCTGTTGAAATTAAGTGTGATCATGTCACCAATAATTTCACAGAATCTTTTAATGCATGGGTTGGAGAATTGAGATGAAAGAATATACTTGCTCTGGCTGAAGGACTGAAGCAAAAATTCATGAAAAAACTGCATAAGAGGTATCAAAAATGCTGCACATGGACATCTAGTGTTACTCCTCATGTGATTGGCAAGCTGAAGGATATTGCAGATGAATCAAAAAGGTGTTCACTGATAATGGCAAGTGACAACACGTTTGAAGTAGCAGACTATGATAAGTCCTATATAGTCAAGTTGACTGACAGGACATGTGAATGCGGGGCTTTCCAGTTGACAGGCATTCCTTGCAAGCATGCTGCACTAGGAGCTCTTTATAGAAGGGAGAAACTGGAAAGCTACTGTGATGCAGCCTTTTCCATTGATCAATACTTGAAAACGTATGCATTCATGATCAATCCAATTCCACATATGAATAGGTGACATCCAATGAAAGATGTGACACCAGTAGTAGTTTTGCCACCACCACTTAGAAGAAGAGCTGGTAAATCAAGAAGAAATAGGAGAAGAGCAGCTGATAAAGGAGCACCTGCACCTCAACAGAAGAGATCAATCAGTTTCAGGTGCTCAAAGTGTGGCAAATTTGGACATAATAGGAGAACTTGTCAAGGAGCTCCTGTTGCTGAAAAAAGAGGGAGCAGTACTTCTACAAATCAGGCAACAAGTCGAAGAGGAAAACCAGGAAGAGGCATTGCTAATACTGGATTAGCAGGATCTGTTCTATGGGTAATTGAAGCAATGTCAAATTATAGTATCTGATTGTGTATTAATTCTGTTCAAATGAGCTTAACTTTGTGATCTGATTTGTCAGGAACATGCACAAGGAAATGTCCCAGTCATTGTATCAAGTCAAGGCAGTAATGGAAGCACGCAAAATCGTGTTGCTGGAGCTCATGTTTAACTTAATCATTCTGCCTGCACTAGTACTAATACCAGAAAGGTATAGTTAATTATTCTGCCTGCTAACTATTCTAACTGTCAACCAGCCATTAGTTTAATAAGATTTGTTGCATGGCTTCAGAGAGGAATGCCAAATGCAGGAATTGAGAGGACTACTGTTGCTAACAACAATAAGAGAGCCAAACCTTCCATTGCTGTTGGCTCAGAACAAACTCCAGCAGTCACTGCATCTTCAATATCCACTTCTGCTGGTATGGGATCTCACATTGACAATAGCAGCACCAGTATGAGATTCTAGTTAGTGCTAGTATTATGAGTTTTGCTTTGGGAAGCTAATCTGGTACATTTGTATACGTAGCAATCCTCATCATCTAGAATGATGTTCTTAGATGATGTTGCAAATGAGATTCTTGTTGATTGCTACATATTTTTGTTTAGTTGTATATGTAACGTATGCCAAGTGGTTAATTGCATTCCCAGTCCTAGTGAACAACTTCAAAGACTGATGTTTTGGTACTTATGTTTGGGAATTGCAATTTACTCTTGCCAAGTATGCTCTGCTACTTCCCAGTCCCATGCTCTTGCAAAGATGTCATGCTGTGCTTTTTCGTTTAACTTTATGACTCTGATTCCTTGGGATTATGTGTGAAACTAGTACTGTTGTTTTCCAATGAACTTAGCTGGGAAGTATTGTTGTACCTAAGGAACTACACCTGATAGCTTAATGCATTTTCTGTGTAGCTTAACTTTGGTATAACACTGATAGGCAACAAATATGGGGGCATACGTATGAAGTAAAACATTCCTTCAACTCTTTTTCACATAGCTTAACACCATGTCCAAGTTACACATGCCTTCTGGTTCTTTTATGCATGACCAGTAAGGGCCAAACAGCTTGGAACACATCTACTATTACTGGAACAAGAAACTGTGATTGTTTTAACAATTTGAATGAAAAGATAAATTGCTAAGAGTACAAGATTGATGATGAACAAGAAAATGATGCATGCATTCTGTTGAGGCACAAAGTTACATTCCTGATTTGCTTTCCTCAATGGAAGCACTGCAGAATCAGCACCATTTCTTATACGCTGCACTTATTCACCTTCATTCATTTGCCTCTGCAATTCTTCACCTTCATTTCCTTCATACCACTGGAAGTAGTTGCACTTTGAACAACTAAAATATAGCTTATCCGGATTTCTTTCACTCTCTGAGATTCGTAATGTAGCCTTCCGGTTGCATTTGCAATACCGATTCTTCATGCTTAGTGATGAAGGTGAATTGTATGACTGACCTTGGAAGGATGAACTAGCCATTTCTTTGCTTGCTTTCCTCTTTAAGTTTTGCAGCTACTTCATGCGGTTCCGTCACCTTTTAATACCACTGGAAGCAAAGTCAAATTAGCCGTTGCATGTCCAACGGCATTGCACAGTGCTCATACCAGAAAATTTATCTTCAATTCACATTCCACCTACTGCAACTTTCTTAATCACAGGATTCAGTCAAACTAAGGGTATGAAGGGAATTAAAATACTCTCCCTCTTCCAAAACCAATATTCTAATGTTACTTTAGACACCAGGGGCTGACATTGTTAAGAAAATATCAATTCAAAGGGTGGTAAGAGAGATTTCTAAAATGTGAGGGGAGCTAAGTGATATTTGAAGAAATCTTAGGGGAGGTTTCTGATATTATCCCTAGTTATTATTCATTAAAACCAAACCAGGCATAGTTGGGTCACAATATATAATAAAAAAAATATAATATAATTAAATAAATATATAAATTCTTAAATGTTAGCAAATCATAATCTATTCATATTTCATAGTTCATATACACAAATCATACACATACGTGTTCTTTAGTTCATGAATTCATATTGATAATATACACAAACATAAATGACAAATCTAAGTGTCAAACAAAAAAAAAGAAACCCTAATATCCCTTTTTAATTTTCTCATCTAACTGTCAATAAGACGACAACGCCCATGCTGGTATGGTTAATCAAATTAAAAAAATTGGGTAAAAAGGTGAAATCAAAAAAATTTTCAAAACCCACTAGATTTAATAGGTCAACAGTTTCACTGTCCGAGTCAAACTGTTCAAAACGAATTATACGCAACTCCAATCCAATTGCTAACTCAGCCCGACTCCATGACGGGTCCATCGGTTTGATCGATTCAACTGCTGGATCTGGTCGAGTTTAATAACTATACTCCTACCACAGTACTTTGTTCTACTTTTTAGGGATAATTTTGATTTAAAAAATTATCAAAAAGAATTTCAAACCAAAGAACGTAGATAATAATAATAATAAACCGCAACCCAATATTGGTTCATACTTTTTTGTATTGAGGTGATAGTGAGACAGCAACAACACGAGTAAATTAAAATCTAATCAAAGGCAACTATTTAAAAAGATTTCTTTAAATAATTAACATTTTGAAAAATTTTTTGGAATACTTACAAGGAGTCAAGAAATTTTTTAAAAAATATATGTATAATATATTATGTAATTTAAGTTATACCAAAAATTAAAATAATCTCTTTATACTTGTAGTTTGTAATATAAACCCCGCATATAGAAAAAAAAAAGGATTATAAATAAGTCAGAATTAAAAATGTTAATGAAAATGATCTAATGACCAAACACGCATCTAAGAATGTCATACATAATTTTATCTTTCTTGCATTTCTGAACTAAATTATTATTTAAAAAATGTCAATTTAAGGAAGGTAAGTGAGATTTAAAAATTTAAAGGGTGTTAAATGATATTACGAGTAATATTAGGAGAAATTTCTGAAATTATATCTACTTTTTAATAGTTTTTATTGTGATTAATTCTTTGCTAGACTCTCTCTCTCTGTCTGTCTCTCGTGGGAAAGAAAAACGAAAAATACTAGCATGGCATCCACATCGGGATTCACAAGTTATACATTTTGGTGTCAGCAACAGACGCACAGGCTTGTATTTTTTTTTTGAAAGAAAATAACAGGTCACGAAAGTCCAATGATTCACGAAAGTCCAATTGGTACATATTTATCTAATCAACTGTGTGGTCTTTTATTCACGACCACACATGATTATTATTATTATGTTAAAAAACGCGCGAAATGGCTGTGCGGAGGAGCATCCATCACAAGCGGACTTGATGAGGCAGAGTTGGACGGCCTTCGATTCGTACTTTGCCTGACTCCACCACACCACACAAAATCATCCATCACGCCGCCACCACCACTACGACGATGAGAAGGATGATTCCAAAAATCACCACTACTAAACACTTCTACAACAAATTTTAAACCACCAAAAGCAATTGCAAACATCATCAAAGTGAGCAGCAACATATATATATATATATATATGTGTGTGTGTGTGTGTGTGTATATATATATATATATAGAGAGAGAGAGAGAGAGAGGAGGCACTCACCGTAGAGGAATTAGGTCGTTGGATCTTGGATGCTTTTGTGAGTTGTGAAGTGCCTTGATCAATAGCATCTCGGGAGCCTTCAATATTTGTATCGATATCATCTGAACAATGGAAAACCATTACCACCACTTGCAGTAGCGCTCCTTTTTTAGTTTTAACGCCTTCCCTCCTCTCCAGTCTTCCCCCACTCCCAAAAACCGGCCAGAAAAAAAAAAGAGAACTGTGGATAGAAATCAGGTGAACACAACAACAAGTGCATATGACTAACCAATCATAGCTCCTTGTTCACGTACGAGAACAGCTAAATCCTTGAATATCTCATTCACCTCGCCAATCTGCTGCTGGATTTCTTTGATGCCTTGGTCCCTTTCTTCTATTATGGCTTCATTCAGTACTATTTCGCTTTCCACATTAATGACGTCCTGACTGAAACCAAATCAAATAGTCCAAACTAACATGAGACGCAATAATATGTTCATACTGCGGCAGTAGGATGTACTAATGGATCCACTAACAATTCAGGGCTATGCATTTTTCATTACTATTAATTATCTTCACAGGAGAACACAAGCCCATGTATGAAATAGGTCGAATTTACAACCAACCAGAGGTCATCCATCGTTTAAGAAGATACTGGGGAAAATAAGAAAATAGTAACAGCAAATTTCGATTTGGTATTGAACGCATCTGCACCAGTACCAGGTTTACCCATAGCGTCTTTTCTTTTTACCTTCTTGTATCGATCATAAGAGACGTATGCTCTTTACTCCTCATCGACTTCATCATATCCGCTTCACTAGGGCTATCACTGCAAACAAATCGCATGGTATGAAGTGCATAGCATCAAGCAAATACTGCAGGTTTATGATTTTTAAACAGAGAAGCCCCACAACCATGTGGGGACTCATACTTACAAATAACCTTTAAAGAGGGACCAAAGAGAGTAGAGTTTCAGCAATCTTTTTAAGCTTTTGTTCATCTAATCAACTGCATAGGATTCTTCTTCTTCTTCTAAGGCTCTTGAACGACTTGACAGTTAAAATATATAAGGCACATATTTCAACAACACGGAACTCAAACAGGATACACGTTAACAGTTTCTGTTATTTTAAATTTTCTATCAAATTCCAGAGTTTGGGATTATGCATCCCAAAAAGTTACCTGTATGACACAATTTGGTGGGGAGTCAAAGGAGCATAAGCTGATTCCCTCTCTGCTGCAAGCCTTTGGGCTTTCTGAAACTCTCTATGAATGTATGCAATCTCTTTCGCAAGCTTCTCATCAAAAATCTTCTTGCTCGCCTGATGTTGACACAAAGGCAGAAGAATGACTGAGCCGCAACACAATGTTCAATCCCAACACGGACAAGGCGAGCAGACAAGCATGAGAGGGAGATCCGAGGGAAGGTTCTTTGCAAGAGCATTTTTTACGCCTAGGTCACTTTGAAATGTATGCTATACGTTTTGGCGGTAATCGTGTAAAGCAGTTTCCTTCATCTAATCCAAAACATAACGTTTTTCTTTTTATAAAGGAAGGCATCTGATGCAGCAGTCGCTAGGAGTATGATGGCGGCATTCTCTCCATGAGGTGAGACAATTTAAGATGCTGTTCTTCTTCTTTGATGGTGAAGCAGCAAGATAAGTTGTGACAGGCATTTACGCATGACAAAATAAATAAATGAAGCAATGCAATAGTCTTTCAAACTCTCGAAGCCATATTGGCGAGTACCTTCCCCGCACCCTCCATAGCCCAAACCCTTTGTCAGTCATTTTAATCAGCAGAAGATGCAATTTTCGTTTGGCAAATATTCTCTGATTTTACTCCATACTACTAATAAAGATGGGAGTTAGGGGCAGGGGGAAATCGACCTGAAAAATGTAGAGAATTGGACAGGCAGTGGCATCCCAAGGACAAAAACTTACAGCGTCTGGAGCATGAGGGTGAGTTTGGGTAGATTGCTTAAGCTTGGCTGAAGCATCCTCGAGCAATTGCCCAATTTGTAGCACTGATGTATGCCTGCAAATCAATACGGACATTAGTGGAAAGATTCAGAGGAAACTAACTGTTCAGATGATGAAAGAGGGATATATTAAAATTATATACAGTTTGTGGCGGAGGTGAGGGGTGTCCTTAGGAGTTCCAAGGTTGTAAACGAGGCGTTGAAAGGCAGCCAGGGCTGTTTTGATTCGAAAGACATCGCCGGCCAGCGCCCGACTACAGTCTTGCTTCGTCTGATCACCACGTATCGTCATCGACCGGCCGAACTCAAGGTCTTCAAAACTCATCTTTTTAGTTTTTGCCAGAAAGTCACCAACTTTCAAGTACTAACAAAAAAAAAAAAAAAGATTCCTGTTCAGTAGTCTGTAAACTCATAAATATTCCACAAGTTTCAAGGTCCTCTCCTAATCTCTTACTAACATTTTCTTTTGGGCTGTGGGGTTTGGAGATCTGCCTTCTGTAGCCGGTCTCAAACTTAGTAGTTGAGGTAGGACAACCGGGAAATTCTTCCGTGCAACAAAATAGGGAGAGTTCTTTCCCGGCCCGGGAGGACTGGAATTTAAAAAGGTGGATAGGGAGGGAATTAAATTTTTTTTTTTTAAATCTCAATTCTAACTAACCCCTTGCAATATATATACTTGGAATCAAAATAATATCTCAAAAAATATGTATTATTTCTTTTATATATATATATATATATATATATATATATACATTATAGATCAAATTGTAATAAATTTATGTATACAAATTTCTAAAGACTCTATAATATAATAGTAGTTCACTGTTTGGAATGCAATAATTTTTTAATATAAATATGAATAATATAAAAACACTATTGATGATGTATTTATGCATTCATCAATATAAAACAATTAAACATAGGGTTGTAATTACATTTACCTCAATTTAATGATTTGTGAGAAATGATTGATACTATAATTTTTTATTTTTAAAAAAGAAGTTATATGTGGCGTGCTCGCCAGGCTCTGCTACCATTAATTTCATAGTTTTTTTTTTTTTTTTGGGCTGATTGCTTGCTGTTGCTGCTGCTGCTGCGCGCAATTGCACATCCACAAAGCAGCCAAGTCAGGAAGCTTCCTCTGTCTCTCGCCTTTTGTCTGTTTCAATTTTTTCGGCCTTTTGCCTTTTGGAGTTGGGACTTCGGACTGACCTATACAATATTAATATTTTTTTTATTGTTCTTACTTTTGTGTCTTATAATAAATATTAATTTGTTCATGGCTGGAATATTGTGATGATATCACAAGAAAATTCTAAAATTTCAATGTGAAGCTCTATATAAGTTTCTCACAAAATCTCAGAGAAAAAACACTACTAGTTTTGAGCATCACATGATATTCTAATTCTTACAGAATTTTTGGCTTCAATTTTTCATAATCTTTTTAATATATATATATATATATATATATATATATATATATATATATATTGTAAACTGCTCTGGCAATAGATTGAATGATACGAGAGTCGAATATAAATGACAGATTTCTTATTGAATTAGACAAAAATCATCTAGAACGATTCTTCTGATTTCTTATAAGAAAACATAAATAAAATTTTTAATGCGGCTAGAAAACCAAAAAAAAAAAGGAAAAATGAAATAAATAAATGCGTCCATTTTGTTTGTATCCAAAAAATCAACGTGGTGCTCTTATGGAGTTTTTTTTTTTTTTTTTGAGAAATTCTTAGGTGGAGTTTGATGCGCAAAAAATCAACATGTACACGCAAGGACTCTTATAGCTAGTTTGTGAGTTGAGAATAGAAAAGAAAAGAAGAGAAAGGTTAAGTTATGAGAGAAAAGAAAGGATAAGAAAAGAAAAGAAGAGATTTTAATGTTGTTTTGGAGTTCTAGAAAGAAATGGAATGATTTTGGATATATATATATATATGTCAATAAAATTTTATCCAATACCTTTGTGAGGATAAAATGGGCAATTTAAAAAAATTTTGTAAGCTTCCATCAGTTTTCCTTCGCTTTCCGCCCGTTTTGATCAGAAAAAATTTTGCACTGTAGCAGCGTTTGGTTTCCCTTCAAGATCCATTCATTTCTTTTCTTTTCCGTTTCATTTAAATGTCCCAAACTAGAGTTGTAATCGAGTCGAGTCGAGCCCGAGTATCGCCATACTCAAGCTTGACTCAACATAGAGATAGGGGTGCTCGAGCTCGAACGAGTAGTATTATTGGAACTCGAGCTCGAAACTTGCTCTCAGTACTCGAGCTCGACTCGCATGGGCTCGAGTCCATTCGAGCATTCGAGCCTTATCGAGCTCTATTGAGCTCGAGTTATTACATTTCATTTTCTTGATAATTTTTGAGTGAAAAGTCATTATTGCCCTTTTAAAATTTTTATATAATTTGAAACATTTCGTAAATTCGATAATTTTTTTGGGTATAATGATAATTTTCAAAATTACAGGATTTGCAACATTCCTATTTTTCTTATGAATGTATCTCCACTCTCAAATTAAGATACAATTGAAAATCATTTTAATAAAAGTTTATTTTAAAAATTGAGAATAATAGAAGAAATATTTACAAAACGTGCTTATAGAATTTTTTAACTTTTTTTTAAGGTGCTTGCCAGATATTAAAAAGTATAAATCAAATGGTATGTTTTCAAACAGAGAACTTCTGGTCATTTCAAACATAGAACTTAAGTTGTATTACCATGAAATTTACGAAGAGGACTAGAGAATAACTAATTCATTCTATATATATTTGTAGTAGGGGGTGGGATTCCATTTTTTTTTTTTACCCTTCCACCCTTTCCCCCACACCATTCCCATTCTTAACTATCACGTACAGAATGCGAACCCTAAACCCAATACTGGAGAAAATCTTAAAAATCCTCGCTTGACTATTGGAAACTATTGGCATATCACTTTACTCGTTAAATGGGGTTGATTGAAGAGAAGTTACCATATATATATATATATATATATATATATATATATATATATATATATATATATAGGCTTAATAATTTTTTTCTTCCATTAGTTACTACTTACTATTGTGCTACGACTTACAAGAACATTAGGATTGACCTTTAATTTTGATGAAGTGGCGCCTTTGAAATTTTTAGTGGTCATGGTAACTGCGAATCACTCCACCGAAAAAAAAAAACCAAAAAGAAAAAAATACAAAACCCGAAAATCCCAAACTAGACGCGGAACATCGCGTCAAACGGGCCAAACCCGAACCTATATAGTTTCAAAAGTTCATATTATTTTTTTTTACGATTATTGTTATTGTTATTTGTTTTTTTTTAAAGTTCGGAAAGGCGCCAGCCCAACATCCAACCCCCTGAAAACTGGGGACGCTTCTTCTCCAACATGTTCTCTGTTTCATACAAGCTCTCTCTCATTTCTCTCACCCCCAACATTTCTCTCTTCTGCTTTTCTGAAGCAGTTAATTAGTGATATTGAATCTCTCCCCAATTACAATTTTTCGCTACCCGCCATTTCCCCTGCTACCAAAAGAAAAAGAAGGAAACAAAAAAAAAAGAAAGGGAATCGTTTGAAGGATGTCAATGATGCATTGCCATATACTAATCTTATAATATATAGCAACGCATTGATGCACTAGTTGCTTGGAAACACACGTTGATGCATTAGTTGTATGAATAGATATGAATAGTAGCAAACTTTTTGGAATCTTAGTTTGGCTTAGACATAGCCAAACATGTGACCATGGAAATACACATCTGATTGGATTGTCACAAGTATCATACAAAACAGGTTCAAATTCCTCTGCTTTCTACTTTGAATTGCCTATGAATATGAAGGCTAAAACAGTTGGTAAACAATTATAGCATTGCATGTTGCATTGTTATTGTTATTTGTTTTTTTTAAAAGTTCGGAAAGGCGCCAGCCCAACATCCAACCCCCTGAAAACTGGGGGCGCTTCTTCTCCAACATGTTCTCTGTTTCATACAAGCTCTCTCTCTCATTTCTGCTTTTCTGAAGCAGTTAATTAGTGATATTGAATCTCTCTCCAATTACAATTTTTCGCTACCCGCCATTTCCCCTGCTACCAAAAGAAAAAGAAGGAAAAAAAAAAGAAGAAGAAAGGGAATCGTTTGAAGGATGTCAATGATGAAGCGGAAGAAGACGGTACAGAAGAAGACGGTACTGAAATTTGACACTACGCCCGATCTCCCCTTTTGAATTTCCTTTTCCTATGTTCTTCCGTTTCGTTTTGACACTTGATTCCACACTGAGACTGATTCTTTGTATGCGTGCTTGCGGCCCTTTTGCTTCATTTTGAAATTTTTCTTCCTACTTAATATGAAACCTGCTATATCGACTCTGATTTCCATGTGGATTTTTGCCTTCTTTTTTATATTTCTTGAAAGAATATGCTAATACTACTAGTACTTGTCTGATCGCGTAGAAATTTGGGGGCAAGTCTCGGGGAACTCTTACTGATTGTCTGCGTTGAAGTACTAGACAGCAATTGTTTACTGGATCATTGACCATGTTTTCCCTTTTTTAGCATGAACTAGACATCATAAATGGATCGATTCCTGATTTCCTTCTAGACATCAACACTCCGTTGATGATCTTTGGATGTTGAATCATGAATGATTAAGTTGACCCATCTCCTTTTTTTTTTTTCTCTTTAATTAAGCCTTTGATCTCTCCATCCTTTGCTCACAAAATGCATCCCATAGTCTCTCTTTTGGCTGTCTTGCACCGACTTAAGTTTATATGATTGCCTTGATGTTCTTGCATTTGAAATACTTCCCCTGTGATTTTGATAACCCACCCCCCTCCCCCCCGGGGGCGGCGGGCCTTTTCCTCCAGAGTCAACAGTGCAGGAATTTAAGGGATTCGCTTTAATAAGTCAATCTAACCGCTTCTTAGTTTATGTGTCAGTTGAAAGCCAGGCATACCTTATCTTCTGGGACCAATCCTCATAATGAAAGGCTTAAGCAAGACCGCCCCTCCATAGTTATCCCTGCACTTACCAGCACAAAGCCCAAAAGGAGACTCCACTCCACTCGCAATTCTTCTTCTTCACTGCATCTTCTTCAGGAAGCCGTTCTTACCAAATGTTCTTCAGGATCCCAAGAAGAAGATGAGTTGGCAGGGTCATTTAATCCCGGATGGATGGACAAAATCCATCACTGTCCTGTGTATCATCCATCAACGGATGAATTTGACGATCCATTTGTATACCTGCAGAAGATTGCCCCAGAAGCATCAAAATATGGTACTAATAACATTCAAAATCCTGTCACCGTTAACTGATCATTTGGTTCCTACTTTACTAGATAAGAAACCGTTATGTCGAAGTAGCATGCAGAATTGCAGACGTACTCATGCATGAATTTGCAACAACTACGAGTTTCTTCTTGTCTGGAGTTTATTGTCTTTCATGTTGACTCAAATGCAAAAGTGAATCCCAGGAATTTGTAAGGTGGTTTCTCCCCTGATTTCATCTATCCCTGCTGGTGTGGTGCTGATGAAGGAGAAAAAAGGTTTCAAATTCACAACTCAAGTGCAACCTTTAAGGCTTGCAACATGGGATAATGATGACAAGATTAGTTTCCATTTCAGAGGAAGGTACTATCAACTATGTTGTCTAATTGAATTTTGATAGGGACACAGGGCTTGAACTTTGGAGTGGGAAAATTATCCCTTGATTGATAGTATCATTGTTTGGTTGTCATATCTATTTGAACCTTTTTTATCATCTTCTGAAGATCATATCTACCTGTTTTGTACTTTGGCTATCATCTAGGAATTATACTCTTCGCAACTTTGAGAGCATGGCCAACCAGGAAGCGGCTCGAAAATATTGCGTTTCTGGATGTCTCCCTTCGGCATATTTGGAAAGGGAATTCTGGAACCAAATGGAAAAAGGAAAGAGAGGAACTGTTGAGTATGCAATTAATGTTGATGGTAGTGCTTTCTCACGTTCTTCTGGTGATCCTCTTTCAGGAAGTAAATGGAACTTGAAGGTAGCATTTCGCTGTCCTAAATTTTTGCACCTTGTGTTTGGTTGTGCTTTGAGTAATGTAGCAATCTCGCCAGACTTTCCTTTCTTCCCCCCGGCGGGGGGAGGAAGCGCGGGTCTCTTTTCCACTTCTGCCTTTGATGGAATCTTTCTTTTTAGGAACTTCCGCGCCTGCATTGGTGCACATTGCGTTTGCTGGAAAATGCAATCCCGGTAATTCATTATCAAAGCTGAACAATGTTCAAGTATCACAGCAACTTCCTTTGGCCTTACCAGATAACCCTTATTTTCAGGGAGTAACGGATCCCATGCTGTACATAGGAATGCTCTTTAGCATGTTTGCATGGCACGTTGAGGATCATTATCTCTACAGGTTCTTTCCATCAGTCAGAATATTCTCATTAATGGTCTCATCTTTCAACTTATCATCCTAACTTTATCTTCTCCTGTAGCATTAATTACCATCATTGTGGGGCGCCTAAGACTTGGTACGGGGTTCCTAGTAATGCAGCACTTCAGTTTGAGAACGTCGTCCAGCATTGCGTATATGACCGTCTCCTGTCTGTAGATGGAGAGGATGGAGCTTTCAATGTTCTTGCAGAGAAAACAACCCTGTTTCCTCCCAAAATTTTGCTTCAGCATGGCGTCCCTGTTTACAAGGCTGTGCAAATGCCAGGGGAGTTTGTGATTACCTTTCCAAGAGCATATCACGCTGGATTTAGTCATGGTATGCTGCTGTTCGTTCATGGTAGGACGTACCGAGATATATAACTCTGGTGATTGCATTTTCTCATCCTGTTTTCTGCAGGCTTCAACTGTGGTGAGGCAGTAAATTTTGCAGCTGCTGATTGGTATCCTTTTGGAGCCGAAGCTAGCCATCGTTACGCCCGCCTTAGAAAAATGCCGGTTATTCCTTATGAAGAGCTGCTTTGCAAAGAAGCAATGCTAGTTTCGGAGTATGAAATTAAGGAGAATGCCGATTTGGTCCCTCTTCGTTGTTTGAAGATTTCATTTGCTTGCCTATTGAGATTGCATCAGTATGCCCGGTGGAGCATAAAGAAATCAAGACCATCAGTGAATATACATCCAAAGTCTCAGGGAACCATCTTCTGCATCATTTGCAGACGGGAATGTTATCTTGGACACCTGATGTGCAACTGTTATACTGATCCCATTTGCCTCTTCCATGGTACTCCCCTTCCCAAAAACTTTATTTTATTTATTGGTCTGAAATCATACCATACTAACTATGATTCGGGTTTTCTCCTACTTCGTACTGCAGTTGCATTCTCATAAATAAATCAGAATTTCTTGGTTGGTGAAGCTATATAATCAGCAGCACTTGCTTAATTATTGAGTGGTTACCATACATATTGTGCAGGAAGCCTCATTTCTAAATGCCCATGTGGGAGCAGCTGTAATCTTTTCATTCGAGATGACATACGAGAAATGGAGGATGTGGCAAAAATGTTCGAGCAGGAGAAAGGAATCCACCGGGAGGTTGAGCGACAAATGAGACGTTGGTTGTTATCTGTGGAAGACGGAAGATGAATATAATATTTTTTTTTTCATTGCATTTGCAGTGACTCATTCATTCAAAGTGTCCTTTCAACTGTAAATTCATTGACGGATTACTTTTTCACATTTTATCAATCATCATTAATCTTGGCACAATTGGACAAGGAACAGCCATGCCAATATCAATCTTATTTGCAACATTTTCTTATCAAGAAAAGAAAACCTGCAACTCACAGACTAGAAGAACAGATTCTATCCCCGCAGAATGGGAAATCTTTCGTCATCGTCATCTTGAGACGAGGTCAGAAAGCAGCCATCAAACCGCCCGCTCCCCGCCGGGAGTGCTAGACCTTCTTTCTGTACCTGCTTGATACAGCTCAGATTCGTCCTTCAAACAGGTCGCACGTCTCGTCTACCAGAAGTGAACACTTCCCATTCCGCTACAAAAGTTTTAATCCACCAGTAACATCGTCCACCATGTCAGCAGGTCCTGCACATACAGCAATCAATTTCAAGGATGTTCATGGTTTGAAGGCTAGCAAAATACTCGTACAACAAATTCAAATACAAGGCTTGAACAGTATAGATATCAGAACAAGAAAAACTCACCCAAAATAGACATCACGGTCCTCGAATCTGTTGTAAAGCAGAGAAAGAGAAATAATTAGGCATTGCTTCAATTAATCCAAAGACGATAGGAGCACGCCTATGCAAAGACAGCTAAATTGGCAGCAAACAGGGTAGACATCATTACAGATCTGCCATAACGGACTAATCTACTCCAAAAACATGAATTCCAAAAGCAAGTCGCTTGATATGATTTCCTTAACCATGACAACTTAAGACACTGTGGAATTTGACTAGTCACTGCAAAGCAAAATCCTATCAATTATATTCCTATACCTCTGTCTAATTCCAAGTAGAACTCACAAAATAGAAATCAGTTGCTTAAAGCATGATTTATATATATGTGTGTGTGTCAATATATATATATATATATTAAACTAATTGATTGCTTTATTAGATACGCCTCTCAACTATAAAATCTTTACAGCCTCTCTTAATAAATCCAGTGTCTTTCTACAAGGATGTCCTCTTCGTTCTTCCTGCAAACAATGTCCAAGTCCCTCGGCTTCAGTCTATAATTATGTCTAGAACATTATTCAGATTTCACAAATCAGGACATTAAGCATACCTAGATTCTTATCATTTAGGAAAAAAGAAAAAGAAAAAAAGTAAACCTAGATTTTTGTTTTCTTTGACCTATTTAACTTTTTCCTCCAATGCTGCCCCCAGTTTTTTTTTTTTTTTGTAAGAGGGGGTTCATAATTCTGGGGGAGTTGCAACTTGCAAGGCACACTATTCAAGGAGCTCTGTCAGAACGCTTCCAAAAAGAAATGCAAAAGAGTAGGCATCTCCTCTTAAAATTGGACAAATATAAAAGAACGGAGAATCACAGAACAGGAGGTAACTTAGCCACTCACTTGGTGCAATCTGTGTTCTACCCGCATCAACTGTAACGTGCGTTGGTAAACTGAGTGCCTTTGCCCTTTCCTGTCAGTTTACACAATAGTAAATATCAGTTAAGGCTTACAAAAAAAAATGTCAGTTAGGGCGTTTTGACATGAAAAACAAATATAAGATCTCAACTGAGCAATTATTTTGTTAACTTCTTCAATGGATTGCAAATCCAACTACACCTAGCAGAGGCAACTATGGCAGCCAAGCAAGTACTATAGTCAAAGCGGTAGAATGATTTTAAAAAAGTTAACCAACCATAAGACAGATATTATGTTTCTGCCATGTCAATGATGAAAATGCAAAATACTCACCTGTAAAACCAGCATCTCATCTTCACTTTCAATTTTCACAACCACTTTAACCTGCCCACACATCTCCCACCTGCACATCAGAAAAGCCTAAAAGGGATCACGCATTTAAAACATACACAGTGCCTCTTGACTAGAGCCAGCCCAAGCAGGGATTACCTAGGAATTTACCTGTTCAAAGCTTTTGGTGCCCGATGAAGGATTTTTTTGTAGAGACCCAAGGTTGCATGACTATGATTCAAAAATTGTTTGACAGAAAGTAAGAACCAATTACATCACAAAACAAGATTAAAGCACATGAGAGAAGCTCAATATTCATTCTATGAACTATGTTAGTGTATTCATCAACATGCACATTTCCCAAAGGGACATCACCCTTGCACTTGTCAAATTATCATCACACATGTCTAGAGGCCAGAGAAAGCCTGAATTGGTAGGAAATGATTCGCACCTGCATTGAGCTGCAATTTTCCCCTTCCCCATCTTTAAGTCATTCCGGACAACCAGAACCTACATATGATTGGGAAAAGAAGAGCAAATGAGCTAGTGGATTCTTTATGCAGAAAAAAAAAAAAAAGCAGCACAAGTCGAGAGCACATTGGGGCCTGCTGGAATGCAAGTAAGGGCACGCAAATCTTCAGAGAAGACTAGAGATGGACCATTTTAAAATCTTCAAGTATGTCAGCTAGCTTTTCAATCTCGATGGCTGGTTTGAGCTGGTTGTTGTTTTTCCGGTAAGTGATAGGTGTACCAGTGTCAGTTAAGGCTGCAGTGGAACGAAATAGACGAGCAGAATGTCGGATGCCAATGAGGTAGCCGAAAGCAAGACAGCCAGCTCCAAGTAAGAAGGCACTGAGCCATGTCATGTCTATCATATCCAATGGGGCAAAAGAAGCAGGCAATAGAACCCCGAGTCTCCCTGCTGCACCCAATCACAAAGTCTTGTAAAATGAGCAATTTGGGGAGAGTAACCATAGCAAATACAATCACTAATGGAAAAAATTAGATGTCAGAGACTCTTTCTTTCCTCGAGTTTTACTAGTCAGATGAGGAAAATCTTTTCTTTTGTTTTCTTTTTTTCACCCGTAACAAGAACCAGTGTAAAACGCAAAATTGGAAAAATACACTACTATATTTATTTCTAGTGCAGAGAATCCATGTGAACCCTGGACATTTTCAATTCCAATCACAATGGCGATTAAGAAAGTTCAGATCATATTGATTCAATCAGTTTTCTCCAAAAGACATATAGAAATATGTTTGTTGGCTAATTAACCTAGATTACTATTATATTTCGAAATAGCAAACGCCAAAAAAAAAAAAAAAATCCGAAACGTGAAGATAACACAGCACGAAAGCTGAATTGGAGAATAGATAAAGAGTCGAAATCAAAGAGGGATAGCAAATACAACAAAAGTATCCAAGTGGAGTAATATGTAAAACGTGAAGAAGCAAGCAAAGCAGCAGCAATAATAATAAATAACCAGAAGTTGCAGGTACCTTCAATCGATGCAACAAAAGATACAAATAAACTAGCAGCGCATTGGCAGAATAGGCCCGGCCGATCGACAAGAATGTCGTCGTCAAGTTTTGTTGCGTTTGGCCGGCGGACTCCTCAACTGGCTGGGCTACAAGTCTACAACTTAAATTACTCTACTGCCCTGCCTTCCACAACCGCTACGGCCCTACTAATTCTCCCTATTTTGCAGACACCGGCCACAGTTGAAATTACTACTTACCCCGCATTTGTTTAGGCTTAATGACACTTTACCCCCTGAAAGTGGGACGTAGCATGGAGTATTTTGAGAACGTGGCATTGTAAATCAACTTTGTACATTGGTAATTTGCATAAATCTTTATTATGACTGAAAAATTGGGGCACTGCATATTTAAGAATTAATTTTTATACATTAATAATATAGTAATTTTTTTTATATTAGTAATTTTAAATATATGTTATATATACATGATTTAAATTTTAAATTTGAATTCATATTGTACGTTACAATCTAAATTTGCTAGTGTTAAAAAAAAGTATATAGATCATCTATAAAAAGGGTTAAAAACAAAAAAAAATCCTCTGTGATATGCTTAATACACAGAAAAGTTCCCCGTGATTTCAAAACATATAAAACGACACATCAGAGTCCGTTAAACTTAACGAAAATGACGATTTCGACTATTAAACTTACCGAATTCCGTTAAATTCCATCGAAAATAGTCAACGATGACCGTCACATATTGTGACAATTTTTTATGGGAGACAATGATCGAATCCTTGACCTCCTAACATCATCGCCAAGCGTTAGAAGGCTGGGCAGTAACCATTGGACCACAGGGCTTAGTTATAAAAATGTTCTTCATTCGTGGAAAAAAAGAACCAAAAGGAAGCAGAACACCGCGTGAAAATAAATTAATTAAAAAAAAAGAAGAAAGAAACCCTCAACTCAGCCGGTTTGAACTTTCCGGGTTCGGATGGGGTCCAATTCAACAGGCATTGAAAAGTCAAAGAACACCCTCCTCCCTTGAGAGTTGAGACCCTTCCCTTCCCCTCGTTGCAAGTTCAAAAAGGGAGACCCATTAAAGGGGAATTTTTCCACAGCAATAAAAGAAAGGCGCCCCCAAAGGGGCCCAACTCATCATCAAAAGTCACTAGTCTCCTCTCCTAAGTTATTTGGAGTCAATTGGCCTTCCCAATTCCCAATTTCCCCATCCCTTTCTCCTGAGGCTAGTCGACTTGTCCTGCTGTGTGCTGCGGTTATCTGCCTCTCAATTTCTCAATCAACACGCTACCCATCATCTCTTTACTGCCAACTCAGCCTTCTACTTCAAGACCTGTCCGCCTTCGAGTCTAAGGTACCGTCTCATTCGACGCTTTCCTTCTTTCTTTCTCTTTTTTTTTAAAAAAAAAAAAACAAAATCTGGCACCATCGATATATTTCTATGCGGTGAGTACATCCGACGTTTTTTTTTAAAATTATTTCAATTGACTTCCCTTCCCTCGATCACTTGCTTTTGTGATCAGCCCTGGAATTCTCTTGCCCTTTTTGGGAAAATAATTTCCTGTCGGATAGTTTGAATGGAATGTTTTAAGTTTTTGTCTGTGGATTTCAATTGATTGATGAATCCAGTAAAATCATACTTGTGACTTTGATTTTCGGGCTTGCTTACTTTCTTTCTGTTGTGGGATGACATAAAAGCCAGAGCTTCGGCGGATTTTTCAGATTGAAGTTCCAAGTGGAAGTCATATACTGTGGTACCAATTTATTGGACAAATTTTAGAAAAATGAGTGACAATTTGATGGATAAAGTCAACGCCCTTGGCGAGCGCTTGAAGATTGGAGGATCCGAGGTCGGCCAGAAGATCAGTGCCGGTGTGAGCTCTATGAGCTTCAAGATGAAGGAATTCTTCCAAGGCCCCAACCAAGCCGACAAGGTGGTCGAGGAAGCCACCTCTGAAAATCTAGACGACCCTGATTGGGCCTCTAATCTTGAAATTTGCGACATGATCAATCACGACAGGGTCAACAGCGTCGAGTTAATACGCGGCATTAAGAAACGAATCATGTTGAAGATCCCCAGGGTTCAGTACTTGGCTCTCGTCTTGCTCGAAACTGTGGTAAAAAATTGTGACAAGGCGTTCTCTGAGGTTGCTGCTGAGCGGGTCCTTGATGAGATGGTCAAGTTGATTGATGATCCCCAGACCGTTGTTAACAACCGCAACAAGGCTCTCATTCTCATTGAAGCATGGGGTGAATCTTCGGGCGAGCTCCGTTACTTGCCCGTTTTTGAAGAGACTTATAAGGTGCTACCGTATATCCCATATATCGATTGCTCCTTAATTGGCTGTCTCTTGATATCTCTCTTGTTACATTTCTTATAATTTTGCAATTTATATTAACCCCCTGTTATCCCTACCTCTGTTTGCCATTGAACTTCTACTTCGTGTTTTATGCTCTTTGTTTTTCACTCAGTTTGCACAAGTTGATAGTGAATTCTGTTTTTGAGAATTATTCTGGTGGAAGGAATGTACTGGTACAAGTATGTCTTCATTGTTTTGAAAAATGGAAGCTTGAAGAATATGTAATCATGAGTTAAAGTGAATGTGTATACATGTTCATCCTGTTAATGTGGTTTTAATGTGAAAACTTGTGATGGATGAATTGGTTTTTGGTAAGTTTTCTCCACCGAAGAGATGGAATACCTCAAAACTTTGTGATTGAAAGTGAATATTCCTGGCAAACGCTAAATTGTTTGTAGACTGCAGCTTTTTTATTCCTCCTTAACTTCTCTTCTTATTCAATTTCTTTATTTTATTTTATTTTAATTTTCTCTTTTAATTCTATTTCAGAGCCTAAAATCAAGAGGTGTAAGGTTCCCTGGTCGCGATAATGAGAGTTTAGCCCCAATATTTACTCCTGCAAGATCAGTTTCAGATTCGGAAACAAATGCTGCTCTCGCACAACAACTTCATCATGATGTTCCTGCACCAACCTTCTCGGCTGAACAAACAAAAGAAGCATTTGATGTTGCAAGAAACAGTGTCGAGCTTCTTGCCACTGTTTTATCGTCTTCACCACAGCAGGATGCTCTAAAGGTATGTTTACATTGGTTCTTGCAGTCATATCTCAAAATCGAACTTTTGTACTGCTGATTTTTATTTCCATTGGAAAGCTGATAGGAAATGCCAGGTTGCTTTTTCTTACAGATTATTTCTTCAGTCAGTTAGACAGAATGCTTATGCTGAGTATTTTGTTATGATCCTTTCTTTAAGCAGGTGTAACATTCTAGAAATTTCAATCTGATCCATTATCTTCAAATAGGAATTTAATCACTCAAATGGAGAATGAGATAGGATTTCTTTTTCTTTCTTTTGCTGCGGAGGCTGCATGTATGAGTGGATAGAGATTTTGGGTCGCATGGTTGCTTTATGAGCAAACAACTTTTACTTAGTCATTTTCTCTTCAAAAATTTTAGCTATCATACTAATTTGGTTGTTATTCTAACCATGATGATGCATCTGACAATAAGCCACTCCTCATCAAGGTGCTTAAGTATGAATTCTGGAGTAGTACAGCTGCATGAGGGTGGTGTAGGCTTGATCTATCTGATCTATTTTAACTAAGATCTTGAGCATGCATTTGGAAATTGATTATCTATATACATGACTAAAGACTTGTTTTTTAAATTTATTTTGAAGATGCTGAAGGTTTTAAGAGATAAGAGCTTAAGGTGTACGTGCATGGATGGATTTTTGAAACGAATTTCATCCAGGAAAATGCATTGATTAATCTCTTTCCTTGAATATGGCATGATTTTTATGTTACATTGTTGATTATGGTTGCATTTGGTACAATTAATTATCCTTGGTTTTTTCTCCATTCTCTTTCAAGCAGGTTTTGGTGAGGTGTGAGTTGTAATAATTGATTTCTTTTGAGGTTGAGATTATTGTATTTTCATTTAGGCATGTATCCTTCTTACTGATTGTGCAACCTGAAGTTTGTTATGCCAAGCTGTCATGTTTATCTAGAGTTTCTCTTTGCTGCAGTTGAGTTCGTATGTGATCGTGTTTGACCTGTTCTGTTTTTGCATGTATATTTTATGCTGATGACTTGAAGAATCAAACATGACAAGGCTTGATGTGATGAAAACTTTTATTCATTAAGAATTGTATCAGATCTTTGAAAGAATTTTAGTTAGGCTTGCTTGATTTACTTCTTTAATTGCAATGGAATGTCTCCTTCTATGTCAAGGAATAGGCCACAGAATAAACATCATTTATTTTGCTATTTAAATCGCAGAACCAGGAAACTGATCTCTGGGTAAATCTACAGGGTGAAAATAGGCTTTCTTCTGTTGAAACAATGTCGATTTTTGTCTTTATACTTTGGATGGCTGAAACTTGTCTGATTTTATAGTTTATTGCTAGAAATAAGACTTTATCCTAAATACATGACAAATAACAACAATAAATGTCTCTTGGTTTATGTTTTGGTGTTGTGAGAAATAGACTATGTTAATATCATTTTAGAAGACAAAATCGGAAATCGGCAAGGGATGCAGTCGTAACTTTAAGGGATAGTGACTTAGCTTTGGCATGGGAATCTCTGGAAGCCAGCCACTGTAGGTGGCTGCAGGATATCTTATTTGACTGATAATGGGTGGTAATATGAAATCATTTTGTATATATTCACTTTGAGGTAGTTTGGGCCATATACATGTATACCTTGTATTCTTGAGAAGTATATGACATAAAAGCAGCAAACCAATGGGTATTAGGCCATTGACTAGAGTGCATAATGCACTTTAAATTTATAAAAGCAAACAAAATTGGATTGGGGTGGTTTAAGGAGATCATCTCAATCTCTTGATCTTTTGTGTATGAACTCATTTTTCTCCACCAGAATCAAGTTTGATAGAATTCCGCACAAGCATCAGGTTACACTTTATGGTGTGTGGGGAAATCCAGACAGCTGCTAGCTTTCTATAATTGTTCCCTAAGGGCTGCTTTGTCTCTGGATTTTTTCGAGCTTGAAGATCTCTCTCTTTCTCTCTCTATCTCTCTCCACACTCAGCCACACATGTGCATTCAAACACTTACAATTGGACTGCAATTTAGACCCAAAGTTGAGTTGTTCTCACTTCTGGTGCTTTTGTTTGTTTTCACAGGATGATTTGACCGTGACACTGGTACAGCAGTGTAGGGAATCTCAATACACTGTGCAGCGAATCATTGAGAGAGCTGGGGATAATGAGGCGCTGCTCTTTGAAGCATTAAATGTGAATGATGAAATTCAAAAGGTCCTCTCCAAGTATGACGATATGAAGAAACCATTAGAAGTGAAGCCAGAGCCGGAACCTGCTATGATACCAGTGGCTGTTGAGCCAGATGATTCACCCCGTGTCGGAAAAGAAGATGCATTAATTAGAAAACCAGCAGGTTCCCGAACTGGTGCGCAGGGAGGGAACAATGATGAAATGATGGATGATCTCGATGAGATGATCTTTGGAAAGAAACCAGGTGGCACTTCTGAAGGAGGGCATAATGCAAAGAAGCAGCAAGGGCCGAAGGATGATCTCATCTCCTTCTGAGTTCGCTGTGGGTGAAGGAGTAGTAGTAGTGTTTCTCGGAGCACTTGGAAGCGTTTGATTATGTTCATAATTCAACTTAGGCGGTATTGATCCTAAAGCATGATGACTTTAATATATATATATATATATATATATTGGAAGAGTTTCTGAGTACCTTTGTTTCTGCACATTTGGTATAAGAAGGCTAAATTTGACTGAGTTTCATGAACATAATTGTAGAACCGTTTGTTGGGTCGACGATGTTATATGGCATTTGTGCGTTGCTGTTAGGGGTGGCGACGGGGCGGGACCCCTCCCCCATCCCCCGCCCCGCTACCTACAAACTCCCCCCGCCCCTGCCCCGTCCCCCGCCTCCCACTCGCCCCGCCCCGTCCCCGCCTCGCCCCGCTTCCCCTGCGGGGGTACCCGCGGGATTAATAAAATTTTTCCCGCTAGATTAATAAAATTTTATTATAGTTAAATTTTAATAAATAATCAAGTACTAAAATGTCAAAACATCATCAAGTTATTATCCATTTTAATTTTACAATTGAAACTCATAAAAATAATCAAACAAAAATTATTTGAATACAATCTAATATGATGAAATAAATACAACTAAAATAGTTAAGTTTTCACTTTTGGTACAAATACAATCACTAATTCATTATTGTGTTTGTGCTTTTTTTTTAGAAAAAATGTTATTCTATTAAGTATAATTAGAAATTTAGTATAAATATATTAGTAAATTTAATATAACTAATTAATAAATTCTATTAGTAGACATGTCTAATTATTGATATAATTGATAATATTAATTATATTACATGCACTAATATACATTATATAATACATCTAACTAATAATATCATTATCATAACGCTCCGTTTCTAAACGGGGGGAAAAAATTCCCCCCCCCCGCCCCCGCCCCCGCCCCGAGAGCCCCCCGCAGGGCGGTTGCCCGCGGGCACCCGTCCCCATTGTCATCCCTAGTTGCTGTAGCGGGAGTGCCTTAAAAATTTATAATTTAGTTTTCCATATGAGACGAGACGGCATTGCATCTGTGGCGAGGGTTGAAATGCTGATTTTGATAGAAGATGACCATGTTACCCTTATATGCTATATAAATAAAATTTTATTCTAATTAAATAATTTTTGATGTAATTATTTAATTTTGTATGAAGAATAAATGATGGATTTGAAAAACAATGGACATAAAGATAAATGTGGAAGTGAAATGAGAATAGGAAGAAAATAAAAGGACCATGAAAAATTGTCTAATCTTGAGGTAATTCAGTAACTATGTTAAATTTTGGAAGGTAATTTTGTTTATACGGTAAATTAGGCTAGAATTAAAATCTAAAATCTCCATAAGGCCTACTTTTGATTTTTAGTTTTTTTGTACTAAAAAATTTAAAATCATTTCTAAAAAATCAATTGAGAATACAATAAAATAAATTTTCAAGATATAATGTGAGAAAGTGGTATAATTTTGGAGATTTAAAGTGAAATCAGTCCTCCAACATATTCGATGGAAGTTAGATGTTGGGAGGTGTTTGTTATTTGGACAAACCTCAGGGATTTTTTAGCAGTTTGGTCAAAGCTCAGGGGAAATAAATGTAATTAATCCAAAAATGAAAAGAATGGCGGGGTGCTGGGGCCAGCCGCCACCGTCACTCCTCCACCACTTCGATGATTAAAAGTATCAGTCTCTCCGTCTCTCGCGCGCAGTGGTAAGTTCTGTATGTAAACCTCCTCCCCCCAAAGTCCCAAACCCATAAAAAAAAAAAAATATATCCAAAAAAATGGCCGGTGGCGGAAGACAGTACCCGCTCAAAACCACCACCAGATCTCCGATCTTCATATTCACTCTGGCTTTCCTTGCTTTATTCTTACTCTACTTCATCTTCTCCTCGCATTCTTCTCAGCCGCCCGTGCCCCTTACAATCCACCCCTCTCAGAACCCTACCACCTTCAACCTCCCAAAGGCCGATTACTCCTTCGTTGTCTCCCTCGAGAAATTCCTCACCACCAAGTCTCCCCCACCTCCGGAACCGGACGATACCGACCTTCAAGACGTTAGTAACCTAGACGATTCCGTATGGATCGCTGAGACTAGAAGGCTTTACGACCATCCTTCTCCTCCTCCGCCTCTCAGGGTCTATGTCTACCAAATGCCATCCCGATTCACTTACGATTTGCTCTGGCTCTTTCGCAATACTTACAGAGACACTTCCAACCTCACTTCTAACGGCAGTCCCGTGCACCGCTTGATCGAGCAGGTAATAATCATATTACTACAGCTATCCACGCGTTACTTCTGCAACTCCCAAGCTACTTACTAGTTTCTACCGCTTCTTTTTTTTTTTTCCCTTCTTCCTGAAATACAGGATTCGTTTTCCTTTATAATTTCAATATGGTGTTGATTTTGTGTTTTATTAATTATTATTTTGTTGTACTCTCTGGCAGCATTCGATTGACTACTGGCTTTGGGCGGATTTGATTGCGCCACAGTCTGAGAGGCTGTTGAGGAATGTAGTAGTGAGGGTCCACAGGCAGGAGGAAGCCGACCTTTTCTACATTCCCTTTTTTACTACCATTAGCTTCTTCTTGTTGGAGAAACAGCATTGCAAAGCTCTCTATAGGGTGTGAGTGCTTTTCCCCCTTTCTTAGTGCTTTTTTTAAAAAAAAAAAAAAAAAAAATTCTCCTCCAAATAATTCCTGTTTTGTTTCATTTTTTCCCCTAACAACTATTATCATATCAATGCGGTTATTTGTATTAATTGTTCTTTTTTTTTTTTTCTGTTTTGGGAGTGAGATTCCCCCCGGGGGCCCGGGGAGGTGGGGAAGGAAGTCTTTCGAGTGCATTAGTTCTATCAAGAGTCTCCACATTTCACAGTTCAGTGTGCAGCAAAGTGCTTATTGCTTATTAATAAGTTTTATAAGCAAGTGAAGATTTTTGGATATTTTTATACTTTTACTCGTTCTAGAAGTACAAAGATTGAGTTGAAAAGCATGTCTTGTGATAGCTTGTTTTTCAATTGCTCTAATTCTGATGTTTAAGGGATTTTTAAATTTTTACTTGAAAGGATTGTTCAGCATCTTAATATGCTTCGTTAAACTTTTAACATATCATCAACAGGGAGAGCTTTTTTTTTATTTTTTAACTAATTCTTTTCTTTCATGGCTTCCCTGCAATGTGCATCACATCACTTTACAGTGTCCAGTAAACTTGGGGATTGCAATTCTAATGAGCTCTATATTATGAACATTATTGAGTTTTCTCACTTTACTAACTTGCTTCATGGAAAACAAAGGCTTCATTTTTTTCCATTGAGCTGCTTGAGTTTATTTTCTCTTGGATTTTTGCCATGCTTATATGTTTGAAAGTAGTACGTTTAATGTATTTTCAATCATGAATGTAGGAAGCTTTGAAGTGGGTGACTGATCAGCCTGCATGGAAGCGCTCTGAGGGAAGAGATCACATTCTTCCAGTACACCATCCTTGGTCCTTTAAGTCTGTCCGCAGATATATGAAAAATGCTATTTGGCTGCTGCCAGATATGGACTCAACCGGGAACTGGTTATTATCTAGCTCTCAGGTTGCACATATATTGAATTCCTTGAATAAACTGCAGTTGCTGATGTTTAATTGAAATTCTTCAGGTACAAGCCTGGACAAGTTTATCTCGAAAAAGATCTCATACTTCCTTATGTACCCAATGTTGATTTTTGTGACTCCAAATGCTTCTCTGAAACTCAGTCAAAAAGGACTACATTGCTGTTTTTTCGTGGGAGGCTTAAAAGAAATGCTGTAAGATTCGTTCCCTCGTTTATAAGTAAATATTTGACAAAACTGGTGATACATTCTGTTACAATCAAATTAGAAGAGTCACATAAGGTTTTTCAAGTTGACTTGTGATCCATTCTTCAAAGCATAAAACTGGTGAATGATAAAACTGGTAATCCATTCTTCGAAGCATAAGAAGGACTACTTGGAAAATTCTGGTGAATGATAGAATGTAACGATTCTCAATGAATTCAGACTGAAGCTTTTCAGAAGTTGAGGTTGTCTGTCTAAGAGTGTTTGGTCAAATTTATTCCCTTATTATCTCCTGAAATTACAATTCTCATCTATGTGACCAATATATAATTTGATGATTGACTGATGACCAACAGCTGAATTATCAAAGTCAGGCATAATAATCTTGATTGCAAATCCTTATTCATTATTCTTTCTCCAATAGAACTCTTGTGATGTGAATTATGTTTGGCTTGTGCATCCTAATATAATGCTGCTGCTTAAAAGTGGGTATGCTACTTTTCAGGGTGGTAAGATACGTGCCAAACTTGTCACAGAACTCAGCAGCGCTGAAGGCGTAGTTATAGAGGAAGGAACAGCTGGAGAGGGTGGGAAAGCAGCAGCACAGAGCGGCATGCGGAAGTAAATTGATCTTCTATTGAATGTACTTTTAGCAGTCTTGTCATTGGTTGTGAATTTAGTAATGGATGTATCTGCTTTCTTGGTGATAGGTCTGTATATTGCTTGAGTCCTGCTGGTGATACTCCATCATCTGCTAGATTGTTTGATGCAATTGTCAGTGGGTGCATTCCTGTCATAGTTAGTGATGAACTGGAGCTTCCATTTGAAGGAATTCTTGATTACCGCAAGGTACTATTAATCTTGTATATTTTGGCTGCTATAAGTGCTCTTCACTGCATCTTGATCTTCTATCACGGCCAAAAGACATTTTAAGCAAAACTAATATTGTAAGCTTTGAAGTGTTTAATGTCAATGCATATATGTGTTGTCATCTGCACTGATCAGAATAACTGGAAATTGTGTTTTGCAATATCATCATCTTTGTCCAATTCTTTGAATTTTCAAAGATTACCTTAAATTTCTCATGGTCTTGCATTCTTGTTATTCTGCACTTCCTTCACCTTCGCCCTTAGCTGTAAAATATGTGTATCCACACCCATACACACTGTAGCCCACATACATTGTAATGATGTGTGTCTGTCTATATAGATGTATGCATGTTTGTTTGTCTGTGTGTGTTTCTATGTATGTGGTGAAACAGGGAAAAGAAATTGACGTGGTAGAAGTGAATAAGAAGAGGAGGCGAAGCTGTGAGAGTTCAGCAAATCTACAGTTATTGAGTGAAGTTTTTTTTTTCCTTTTCTTTTGGCAGATAGCTTTGCTCGTTTCCTCGGCCGATGCCTTGCAGCCAGGATGGCTTATAAGTTTTCTTAGAAGTATTAGCCCCTCTCAAGTTCGGGAGTTCCAAAGTAATTTAGCTAAGGTTTGTGCTTTTGCATGTTTTTTTCTTGCTACATTATTGTGACATGTATTGTTGTTAATTTGTCAAGAAAACCATTCTTGTTACATATTCAAAATTTCCCTTTTTTGGGTTACATTCATGTTTCAGAATATTATTGATATTTAGTGCTTGACAAAATCCTTACTCTGATAAAAGAAAATGTATTACTTTGATGGCAACTGTGGCATGTTTTCCCCTGCACTTTTTCTTTACTTCAGATATGAAATTTGTAATCTCTTGATATTTCCAGCTTTTGTTAATGTACTCTTATGATTACAGTACTCGAGGCACTTTTTATATTCCCATCCAGCTCAACCACTTGGCGCAGAAGACTTGGCTTGGAGAATGGTTTGTTACTCATGCTTATTTATTCTATGTTTCCATGTTGTTCTCTGTGCAGTCTATTTTGTTAATTTTGAGAGCTGCTGTTAACAAAGTGTTAGCTTAGGAGACTTGGTTTTTCCTTTTTACTAGGGATAACTTCAGAAACTTTCCCTGAGGTTACTGATAATTTCACTTAGCTCCCCTCAGGTTTTAAAAATTACACTGACCTCGCTTGGCACACTAAAATGACTATATTAACCTTCACTTAATAGATTTCTGCAATAAGGTGTACCACTGACAAAAAAGAAAAGGAAAAATAAAAAACTCTATCTCTGCCATGGACAACAAACGACTGCCCTTCTATCTCTAATCTCACTCCTCTTCTCAACCACCGCCCATCTCTCTCTCTCCTCCTCCTCTCTTCATGTGTCTTTTAACTCTCTCCTCCCATCACTCTGTCTCTCTGTTCCCGCAAACAACACTACAACACCACAACTAATCCCCTCTTCTAGTGTCGATTACCATTCCTCCTCTTTATTTCTTACTAGACTGTTAAACCCCCTCTTGTTTTCAATTATCTTTAGGTTTTCAGATTGTAGAAAATTGATATTGCCAAATTACAAGTTCAACTGAGGGATCAGATTTTTTAATCAAACAAAAAGGAGAGGAAGATGCTCACAGTGAAAGATAAATAAATAATCCAGTTATGCTAGAAGAGGAAGAGGGACTGAAGTTGGGAATTTGCTTTTTTTTTTTTGTCATCCAAAAAATTATTTTATTTCTCTGATTATCAATTGTTGGTTGTGGTTTTGTTATGAATAAGAATTTGGCCTCCATTTCTAGGATGTTGATATTTTTTGGAGAATTGAGGGCATGGCTCTTGGTATTGGTAATGGTGGTGGTAGGCGAGATTTTGTTAATGTTGAGATCATACCGGCTATGGGGTTTGAAGAGTGGGGTGTGGTTGATTGTCAAAAGAATGTTGGGGTTTGGCAAGCACTAAGGCTGTAATGCCTGGAATAACGGAATTGCTTGGATTTTGGATTGAAATTGGAGTGTTTGCTTGACTGATTTGTTAATACTCTGAGCTGAGTGAAAGGGTGGAAAGAAGGTGATTTTTCTTCTTCTTCTTCTTCTTTTTCAATAGAAGGGTAATTTAGGATAATTGAAGGAAAATCTAGCTTGTTGGGCCTACGTTGTTACATAAAGTCTAAAAGTAAGGAGTTGGTGTAATTTTTTTTTAAACTTGGGGGAGCTATCTGGAATTGTCAGAAACCTCTCGATGAAGATAGTGATTTATATTTCAAATCATTGAAATTGTTACAATCAAAGGGTCAAAATTACTTTATTTTACAATCTAGCGGTAAATTATAATCGAGGGTATGATGCGATGCGCAAAGGGATGGTAGAATCTCCTTTGTATTTTTTTGCTTGAGGTGCTTAGCTGTTCCTAAGTTGATACTACTATAATTTTATGTCTGTCTGATGATTGGGTGAAACAGATCGCGGGCAAGTTAGTGAATATCAAGCTTCATATCCGGAGATCCCAGCGTGTGGTGAAAGATTCTAGAAGTCTGTGTACTTGTGAATGCAGGCGTCCCAATATTACCATGCCAAGTTCCTTGGCTTGATGAAGCAACAGGTTATTCTGTTTGGCTTTAATTTTGCTCCGCAGTTTTGAAGGTTCGAGATGTACACAAGTATCATGGGTTAATTGTGGCAAAGTCCGAACTTGTGAAGTTTAGAAGTGTAAGGGAAAGAAATTGTTCCCGAAATTCGGGGACATTAAATTAAACAGATGATGAACTGGTTGTCCACTTTCAGTTCTTTTTTTTTTTGTTGCCTTTTAAAAGCTTTATTATCCTCCTTTGTAGGTTTAGACTTTTGTTTTAAGCAATTCGTTCTTCTCCTTTGTGCAAGATTTAAGAGTTTGCTCTAAACAGAAAATTGGTCTAAAATCAGAAACCTTTGTGCAAGAGTTTGCTCTAAAAATCAGAAACAGAAAATGCAAAGAGCACCCTCAGAAGTAATATGCTTGTGAGAAAGAGAGAGTTGGTGAGGAGTCATGCGGGAGGAATGAGGATGGGTCTAGTTAGTTATATAGTTGTTGAAGCAGCAAGAGGCGCGTGTCCCGTTGATAAGAGGCAGAGTTCACAAAAAGATGGCTCAGCATCATCATCATCATCATCATCATTCACGTCGATAATCCTACATCAAAATTGAGTTTTACACAGGGGGGCGGCCATGAACACCACGGCGACTCTGTTGTTGGGGGTTGTTCTCCTGATGACGACTCCAGTGTCATATTCCTACGCGAATAATGATGCCGCCGCGGCCATGGACATCCGGAGGACTAACATCGAGGTTGCCATAGAAGAGATGCAGAGGGCAAACTACTTCACATTCGTGATGCTCCTCAGAATGGCCCCTCCAGACCTGATGATGATTCTGGAGGGTGGCAACCTCACCTTCTTCATGCCCAACGACAAGACGCTCTCCCAGGACAGCAACATCGTAAGTCTCGCGGCACCGGCCAATCACACCACCACCCCTCCTTCTCTCGCCCATTTCTTGCTCCGCCATTCCATTCCATCCCCGTTGCTCTTCGAATACCTCCAGCATTTCCCCGCGGGTTCCACGGTCCCGACCTCCGACCCCGACCTGGTGCTTAGGATCACCAACCACGGAAGGAGGAGCTTCTTTCTCAACAACGTCAGAGTCAGCAGCCCCGACATCTGCACTCGAGGATCCTCCATTAGATGCCACGGCATCGACGGAGTCATCCAACCTAATTCAGTGCCTCCTCTGCCCGCTGCAGATCATGATTGCCGCCGCCCAATTCCAAATGCTAATAATAATAATGCAACAAGTCCTCCTCCCGCCCTGCAGCCCGCTCCACCATCAACAGCCCCGCCACCAGGAGAAGCGGACTCTAGAAACAGCGCGCCGTCCCTTCCTGGGCTTGAGCAGATGTTCGAATTTGCGACCAAGTGTGTGGCGTTGTTAGTGCTCAACTTAATTGTTGTCTAGGTAGGCGCAGCAGTTTCGCTTTTGCTGCCGTACGTCCTATGATGATGGATAACATACTACAAAACAGTCTGTTAAAATTACTACTGCCTGCTAGTAATTAATCAGGCTGCCCCGTACGTACGTGGCGCTACAATATATTGTTTTAATTAATTAAAGGATGATGAGATTAGATACACAGGATGCATTAATACAACTGATTCCACCCCAAGAACAAAAAAAAAAAAAAAAAATTCATATACCCATGCAATGCAATTATATTATCATACGAAACGCTGGTGAAAATTAGGTGTTGTCTTCGCTGCTTCGATGATGACTAGTTGAATAATTGAAGGACAAACATTCATATATATATATACGTACTAAAAAACTACTGCATGCAAGAACGTCGAATAACGTAACGTCAAAGTGGCAGCTTCTCGTCGGTGGGTGGGTTTAGATATATCAAATATATGGATGGATAGTACTACGCCCCGTTCCATAGAATGTATCATCAAATCAAATTCTCATTCGCTTCTGCGTGCATACATGCAATTATGCAAATGCAAAAAATAAAAAGACTGATGACATCATATCAAACAATCCCGGGGCTGCAGCAACAAAGTTTCTGCACAATGCCGCCTCCGCCGACATCAATGCAAGCACCCCCGCCGTTGAATCTTCTCTTAATGCAGCCTGCCAAGCACTCGTCGTTCCCGTACGTCCCCGAACAGCTCGCGTAGCAGAATGGGTCTACCGCTTCATCTGTATGTATAAACAAACAAACAAAAACCGAATTGATCTACGGAGACCGAGTATAGAGTCACCTATGAAACTTGTTAAATACTAGATTTGGATACCGATATTTTTGGTGCTATAATATGATGCCGCGGCGGCGGTCAGAGCAATGTTGACAGCAAGAATGGTGACTACCAGTGTCTCAGTCAAACCCATCGAGACCAGTCTTCTTCTACTAAGCTCTTCTGTTCTATCTCTACTAGTATGATCTACTACTATTCCCTCCTCTCTTTAATTTCCTCCTGAATCCTTCCTCTCGGCGGAGGGCCGATATACATACATACATATATATATGTATATATATATATATATATATATATAGCTGTACAGTAGTATACATTAACCAAAAATTCAAGGAATCATTTTATTTATTCATTAGTGCCAACCAAACAACTTCCCAATTCTAATGTGCAGAGGCCCCGTCCTGGGCCTAGACACGTGGCAGCCCAGGAAGGGCAGAACTGGGCCTGGATCGCAGGCCTCTGACAACCGTTCTGGGGTACACCGCCACTAGGGCTCCCAAGAGGTTTCAGGGAACAATCCCGCAGAGGGCGGGGAGAATCCCCCTCAGCCCGGGATTGCGGTTATACCGGGCAAGTCCCGAAACGTACGGAGGTCGGGCTCTCACGCAGGTATAAATGGTAACGCACACCAACTACACAAGGTACGCTCACTATTAGCATATTACCCCCGGCTGCTTTACTCCCCGTGAACTTCATTCACCAGAGAGCTAACTTGACCGTCGGAGTGCCCTCGGGGATGACCTCGAGGCCCCCTTGTTAGATCACTCTCTCATTTGTCTTGCAGGCTTGAAACCAGCTCTTCCCATCAGCACACCGAGTTAGTCAGGTCAGCTCGATTCGGGGAAATTCAGCACTTCTTCATAATGTAATGTACGAATTCAAAGGCACTGTTTGGGAAAAAGATTTACTTACCTAATTAATTAACAAACAACATAAAGTAATGTACAAATTCGAAAGGCACTCTTTTGGGAAAAGATTCACTCACCTAACTAAGGAAAAACATAATGGCGCATCGCGTACATCCATAATTAATCAGTTTCACCAATAAATCAAAAGGAAAACAAAAAGAAAGAAAATCAATTCACCTTTGTTAAAATAGGAAACCTGCTCATATACTCTGTATCTCTACTCGCACACTAACACAAAAAGTCTTTGAGATACACGATACATTAGGTTTATGGTCACCGGACACCAGTAGGGCTGTAGACGAACCTAAACAAGCTGGACACTTTGATAATATTTTGGCGACCTTAAAATTTTGTTTGAGTTTAACTCATTTATATCTCGAGTCAAAGTTGAGCGAGTTTTTATCGAGTCAATCTCAAATAGTTTGAATATTTTACATGTAAGTTTTACTAACATGCTAATCGAATTGAACTAGAGCCGGACTTGATAGTTTATAAAAGGAATCTATGTCTCTATATATATAAGGAAGACGAAGCACAGACGCATAGGAGAGGAGCAAGAGGCTAATTGATTAGAATATATGTAAAAAAATAATAATAATAATATCACACAAATCTATCTGACACACATCATTTCTCATTCTATACCTGCCGTGCTAAACGAATTGTCAGAAACTCTGCAAAAATATCAGTGGATCATCGGCTCACAATTTTTTTTTTAATTAGCCTATCCCCGGCTGTGCCTAGTTAGCACGACTGTGGACAAGTTGTCAAACAAAAAGGGCCATGGGTCAAATACATCCCATGATTTTTTATCAATAATAAAAGTGAATGTACAAAAGAAAACTACACGTCTTGGATGCCATAAACCCAACCATTTCATGGCTAATTTCTTCATATATTGTTTAAAAAAAAAAGAAATCGGGAAAATGTGATTCTAACAAGCGGGATTTCTTCGTATATGTCTTTTGTATCCAATAATTTTTTTTTAAAACATGGTAGGGCATTTAGTTTTTTTTAAAGTTTTAAAAATGCCTAGCAACTAGTTGTCATTGCAAATGTCAGAGCACATTTTTTTGTGATTAGTTTGCAAAAATGCTATGTTGCATATGCTTCTTGATAACCATTGGGCCAATGGCTCAGTGGCCACCACCTAGTTGGTAACCTTGCCTCCCATTAAAAATGCCACATTTAAGTGGCTTATTTTCAAAAAAATTTCAGGCGGGTGTTCTGTGCACCCGTCTAATCCAATGGTGGTTCAGTCCCCTCCTGCTTATCCTTGGGTCTCCTTAAATCCGCCCCCTTCCCCTTAGTGTATGATAGATTAGGTTTATCGTCTCCGAAAAAAAAAAGCATATGCTTCTTGATACTAATCTGGTTCCTCTGCTCTTGTATGAGCTGTTTAAATATGTCTGTATACATTTCTTTGTTCTTTTCTTTATACTCATTCTAAGATTTTAGAAAAAAAAAATTCCAACTACATTAATAAATTTATTTGGTTTTAATTTTTTAAAAAATTCAAAATTAAAAAAAATTCAAAACGTACATGTAATTTTCGACATTAGTGTGGAACCTTGGACAACTCAGAAGCAACAAGAAAAGTACTGTGAAATGACCTTTTCACCCATAGAAAAAAATGGTAGGGAAAAAAAAGAAGTTATAGGAAATGGTGGCCTATATAAAGGATTGGGCAAGCAAGAAGCAGAGTCAGTTCCAACTTGAGCTCAGAGTGAAGGAGAGAATGAGGTTTTACAGAGAGATGGGAATTTCTCAAGGGCGGTTGCCCCCTCTCTGCTGAGCCGATGATTTCATTCTCACAAATTACAAAGAATTTAAAAAAAAGGAGTAGCCCTTTTGGATTCTGAAGCACAATCATCTTCCATTGCAACGATTGCAACTGAACTTCTTTAGCCTAAAGTGTTGCTTCTAATCTGTGTATCTTTCAATATTTAAGAGAGGATGGTTTCTGAGATTGACAGTTTACTAGTTACAATATACAACAATCCACCAGAAAGATGAAAGCCGAGGGAGGGAAAAGGCTGACAAAGACAAAGGCCCCTGGCCCTTTTTTTTTTTATCGCCTGTCCCCAGCCGTGCCCAGCACGACTGGGGACAGGCTAATTAAAAAAAAATAATTATGGGCCGCTGACCCACTGACATTTTTACAGAATTTCTGATAATTCGTTCTCCTGCCGTGCTGACTCGACACGGCAGATATAGAATGAGAAACGGTGTGTGTCAGAGATATATTTGTGCGATATATATTTTTTTTTTTACATATATTCTAAGCAATTAGCCGGAACAAGAGGTGCAAGTGCTATGTTAAACTCCCTAAATTGACCCTATTTTTGTTTTGGAAATGTCGCGGACAGACAAATTGGTGAATTTAACGGTTAAATCTAACAGAATGGCCTCACGTCTTAACTTTATATATTTTAATGGTCAAAGCCAGACTTTTAATAGTCGAGTAATTAAAACTCGATGATTGCAAAAGTTTAGTGCTCAACCGGATAATTTGCTCTCTATGTGTGTAGTGTGAGGGTAAATAAAAAATTTACGAACTCGATGGGGAAAATTTTTTACTACGATGGGGGAAGGGTATAATCGGATAAACACAAAATCACCCATCATGGGAAGTGGAAAAGGAGAAGGGCAGCCAGTATCAGTTTGCTGTTATGCGGAGAAAGAAAAGAAAAATGTGGAAAATCAGAAACCCTACATAAACCCTACATAAACCCTGAAACTTCTTCTCCAACCTTCCTACTTTACTTGTTTCTCCTCTTTATTATTTATTTATTTTTTTGAAAAGAAGAAGAATAAGAATAAGAAGAAGAAAAAGAAGAAGAAGAGTAGCAAATGGGAATTGCAATTGGAGGGTTGTGGAGAGCGGCGACTGCTGCAGAGGAGGAAACCTGTATTTCTTGTTGATCAAGCCATTTTACCAAAAACCTTTGAAATCTCATTAAATATCTCATCTTGCCCAACACCCGCGCCCCCCTTTCTCAAAGCTGCGATTCTGTAAAAACAACAGAATCAAAGTAGTCATCAAGTATTACTTAACAAGAAAGAGGGATGACAAGAAGCAGTGCTACTGTGTCTGGGCTATTATCGGCCATTGCTTCTGCAGCTTTTGGTGTAGACCGCGCCTATTGCGATGGCCCATTCAATTTCTCTCCTTTTTCTACTTCCTCTACTACTTCAACTGCTGTTCCTCCTCCTCAGACTCAATCCCCTGGTGCCAAGACCCCTCAGCCCGCTCCTCCAGAACCGACCAGGGTTCGCAATGATTATCCCAGAACTACTTCCGCTGGCTTCGATCCCGAGGCTTTGGAAAGAGGTGCAAAGGCTTTAAGGGAAATTACTACCTCCTCCCAAGCCAAAAAGGTCGTTACTACTTTCCCACTTTCTTTCTTTTGTTGCAATTTCAGTTTTTTCTTTTTTTGTTGGT